TTCGACAAAAAGGCTTTCAAATTTGTCCAAGTAAGTAGACAGAGTATCACTACGATGAATAGACACAGTGTTCAGAGTTTTCGAGATTGTAGCTAGACGTTGAGAATTTATAAGAAAGTGCCTTTCTTTGAGAAACTGCCAAAGCATGAAGGGATCATAAATTAGGCTTAAAGCATCCGCTGGGTCAGTGAGATGATTGACGGCTTGAGTGTTGTTGGTTTTATCTAAATGATTTAAGATGTAATTGACAATGATCTTTCTAGTCTTAACAATCTTCTCGTTAGACAACTCTGGGTCTTTGAAATTTTCAATCAACACATAGTGATGAAGCTCAAGATTGTCCAGATTACCAAAAACAGCACGACTCCATGATGAGTAGTTTCCATCTTCTAAATTATCAGATATCTTGAATTTGAACAGGGCTGAGGTGAGTTGTTGTCCATATTTTTGGATGGCGTTTCCAAAAAGAGAAACAACACCTTCATCATGAGTAGACATGTTGATGTTGGTACGATCTCGAGTAGAATTTGACACGGAGTTAGAAGTGTGAGAAGAATCAAAGAACTCTTGGTTCAAGGTTCCGGAAGAAGAAGTTTCGGATTCGTTCGAGGTGTTGATCGAATTGGCTGGACTGGAAGGATCAGGGTTTGATGCCATGAACTAGATATAGAATTGAGGTGATCGATTCGAACCTCTCGCTACCATGTAAGATTTTGAAGATGACAAGGGTGACTAGACAAAAACAGGAGCTAAAGCTCACTAACCTTTAATAAGGTGAACAGACGTGTTCTCAGTCGCGTGTTGACGAGACACCGCCGAGACAACAAAAAGACGAACAGGAGCTAAAGCTCACTAACCTGAAAGACGTGGTTAGAGTAGAAAGAAAACTTTTAGGATTCTTGATTCCAAATATTGAAGATGAGGGACAACAAAAAGATGAACAGGAGCTAAAGCTCACTAACCTTTAATAAGGTGAACAGACGTGTTCTCAGTCGCGTGTTGACGAGACACCGCCGAGACAACAAAAAGACAAACAGGAGCTAAAGCTCACTAACCTGAAAGACGTGGTTAGAGTAGAAAGAAAACTGAACAAAAATAGTAAAAGAATTAACACACACAGTTGAGGTGTAACATGAGATAAAGAGAAAAGACTGAGACTCTACCTTTTAGGATTCTTGATTCCAAATATTGAAGATGAGGAACAAGAATCGAAAAAGGGGAACAAGAGAGTCTGACATATAAATCAAGAAAATCAAAAAGAAAAACACCCCCTGGCTTCAACTCGTCATTCAACTCTTAACCACCCCTTGCTTCAACACACGTCTTACTTTGTACACCATAATTGGCAAAAGTCTTGAACGACACAAAATCACCATATTCCAACAAATTGCATACAAAAAATTGACTCCAAATCCGTAAAATACTTTCCACCTAGTACTATCCATTTGCAATTTAGCACCCCAGCCATTGGACCAAGTTTAACTCAATCAACAGGCTACACATCATATCTGGTGCCTTTAGCTTGTAGATTTGAACCTGAGGATACTCTTCCTCCACCCCAGAGCTATATATACTCCTACCTGGATTGTGCAGACCAGTAAGTCTTAGTTGTTCATACAAGAATAATTTCCATTTTTCTTGTTATATTATTTAATCTTCATCTAAAAATTGTTTTTGTCATGTCTTCACGTCCTTCAACACATAGTCAATCACGTCAAAGATCCCAAACAACCAACCCTGACACCCATGGTGATCCAGCACGCCCAATCAATAGATCAAGTGAATCAATTGGAACCAGGGTTCGTGGCCAAGCACCAGCCAGAGGTAGGAGGTACCAGCCTCTGACCTCCACATCTATCCGTCCTGCTGACATGACTGTGGTAGGTCCAGTACCAGTACCTTCAAGAGAAAGAAGCCCAATTGATTTGCTTCAACAAACACCCTTGACGACATCATTTCCAATGCAACACACATCACAGATTGACCATCTTGGACTCGGGCAGGGTAGTAGTAGTACAAGCTCAAATTGCTATGGTAAAATTCTTAGCAAAGAGAGACAGGGACAGGCATCAATCCAACCACCATCATTATTGAATCCTAGTGATGATCATATGGTCAGTCTTTTAACCTCAGTCCTTCAAGACAATTTGATACAACCATGGACTAATTTAGGTCATAACCATTTAAGCCAATTATCCAGCAAGTCACAGCAGGATGATGAGGTTGTAAAGTATTATCAGGATTGTATCTCCACTATAAATAAAAATTGTAAAGAGTTATATAAGAGGGTAGGACCTGAAATTAAAGATCTGAGGCAGATAATGGTAGATCTTTTAGAAACCCTTGAAATGCAACAAAGTTCATCTGTTCAAGAAAGTGAGAGACACCACCGTGAGATGTTAAATTTACTGAAACTTCAGAAGTTGAGCCTAGACAGTAAATCAGTGAGAGAACTGAGTGAAGTCTTGAGTGAAAAAATTGAAAGTCAAATTGATACCAGACTTGATCAATTCTTTGAAGCAAAGAAGGAATTTGATGTTCCTTATAATATTAATATTGACGAGATTATTGAGAGGAAACTCATGAAAAAACTGGACCACCAGTTTGATAGGTTATTTGATAAACTTGGCGATAAGTCAGATTCTGGGATCAGTAACACTGATTTAGTGGAACAGAACCTCCAGTCCAAAAAAATCTTGCACTGCAGATTGGATATTTTGGAACAGTACCTGAAGGAAATGAATGAAGACGGAAAGATTCAGAGAGAAAAAATTCTCACAGAAGTATTGATAATCAAAAATAGTGTTGAGTCACTCTCAAAAGGTGAAAGAATTGTCAATAGTCCTGTTAAGATTCATTCTGGAAAAAACAGCCTTTTGAAGAAACATACAGAAGAAGATTCTGAGCAAGCCAGAACACCTCAGGAGTGTAATGTGCACCAAGTACTTAGTGGTATCAAGGAACAGATCCAAGCGCTCGAACGACAAGAGCATACACAAAATCTACCCATTAAGCAAGACAGTGAATCAGCAGAGTACCAAGAAAACTTGAAAAAGGATCTGCGGAAAGAGTACCTGCAGCCTAAAGATTGGCCCACCTTTGATGGTGAAGGAGAGTACAACCACCAGGAGTTCATTGACTGGGTGGATAGAATGTCCAGTAAGCTACGCATGCCTGATGAGCTAATAATTGCAAAGCTGGGTATTGTGTTTCATGGAGTAGCCAGACAATGGTTTATAGATTTCTCAAAAGAAGATGATCTACAGACATGGGCAGAATGGAGAACTGCAATCCAGGAGAGATTTGGAAATCAGGCGTGGAAAAATAGGATGCAAAAATTGTATCTGTCAGATACATTTGTGCTTAGACCAAATGTTGATTGTGTAAAATGGGCAAGTAAGCAGAAACAAAGAGTCCAAGCATTTCAACCAAATGCTACACAGGAGGAACTTGTTGAGAAAGTTGTATGGCAACTCCCAGGTACATCAAGAATTTGGGTCACAAGCAGACTCAAAGAACCAGCCAAATGGACAGACTTCCTGCTAGTTCTTGAGGATATATGTAGCAACAGGCTCGAAAGGATAGATGGGGGTACCAATGAGAAAAGGTACTTTGCTCCTCAGATGGCTGAATCAGTACATAATGCTAATGCCATTGTGGAAACTAGCGTCGATTCTTTTGACAGTAAAAAGAACAAAGCTTGCCATACATGTGGCAGTACTGACTGTGCACATATTTGGAAGTCATGTAAAAGAAAAAATAAGGAGATTAACCAAATTGAAACAATGGAAGAGAAATCAGACAAACATATTGAAGAAGTTGGTATAGAATTCATAGAATACACCAGTGATACTGATTTAGAAGACATACTTGGAAGAAATTGAGACAACACCACGGTATTGTGGAACAAATCCAAGACAGTTAACACATTACAGTAGAAGGGGACCTTCTCTGGTGGTGGGGAGTGTCAGCCCTGAGCCCTAATTACAGGACCATGGGCTAACAGTACCATATGTAATATCAAAATATTGTATAAAGCCATAAGCTACATCTCAAGGCTCAGTGTCAAGAGCCACTTAAACACATGTATGTAATGTATTAAATACATAGTAAACCTAACCCAAGTGTCAACCACAAGTTGACACGTGAATAGACAAGACTCACACGCCAACCACAAGTTGACACTGGAACTGAGACTATATAAACCCCCCCTTCTTCCCTAGAATCACCCCCCATCTTTTACTACAATCACAACACAGAACCACATTTTACTTGACTCCTACTGAGAGGATCTTCAAGTACGTGGTTAGTTGTGTAGCTTGTTAAAGACCATTCTTGAGCATTACGGGTTCCATTGCTGAACACCTAAGGTACTGATTTCTGCGAGCCCAGGGCATTCATTGTCTCTAGAAATAAACCTTAAAGTAGCAAAGCTTCCTTTTTTTTAAGGAGTCTAAAGTAGCCTTCAGGATCTTTGGTTTACCAAAATGTAAAGCCTGCCCCTCGCAGTCTCACAAGGTTAGAGCACATTAGCTCTTTATTGCCCTTATCTTTCCTTTCCCTTTCTCAAATCCTCTTCTTAGAGGTCAACTAGCTGTAGTCTTCACTTGGGTGTAACATGTGAAGACCACACCTTCCTTTTCCTACTCTATTTTCTGTGAAGAGTACGCCTAACAGCCGTGTACTCCTCACAATGTGTCCCACAAGTACTATACTACAACATGTGACATGCCTAATACCTTTTGCAAAAAGTGTGATTGTAACACTTTGATTCCTTCCAAATTGTATAGGGCTGCCTACACATAGCATGTTCACTCTGGCAAGGGTCTTGAATGATAAACAATACAATACTCCCTTTTGGTGACAAAATATGCTAACAGAGTGCAGTCCTTTTACTTGCTTGTGCAAGTGGCTCATGAAGATATTCTATCATCCAGACCAGATAATCCAAGAGCACTAATTACAGGTCATATCATAAGCCTTTGCTCACCAAAAACATTGGGGATAGCACAGGAAATGTGAGGTATTGCCAACCTAAACTATCTGATGAGCTTGGATTTTTGGCTCCGATGCAGAACAATATTCAAGAAGGTGATGCATAACATCAACAAGGGCCAGAACTGCCTTGGACCCTTGGGTCTCCTTGTCCCAGACCTGCCCCACAAAGGATCCTTGGACTTCAAAGCAACTAGGCTGCTAATGTGGTCCTACATGTAGATCAAAACTATGTAGCCAAAAAGAAATACACTACAGGATTGATGCCCCTTTGGATCTGTACATTCCCTTTACCAATTGACCTAGTCTTCCACTCAGCCGTACATGTGCCAGTGAGCCAACCCAGCCCACAAACATTCCTGTAGTTTGTGTCCTGTATGGTGTTTGTTTTAAATGTAAAGAGATTTCTTATGTTTAGAATGAAACATTCCCCACTATTTGTATATTACAGTATGTACATTGGCTTTTACCAGTTCCCAACAGCCCCTTTCTTGCAGTCGAAATTATCTACAGGACTGAGTGCTGAGTGTTGTTTGTATAGATATTACCAGTCAATGGTACAGGAGACTTTGACATAATCTTGTTTATGTACCTATTATAACCAAAAAGCTCTTTTGTAGTGTTTGAATAAGCTTTCGAAATCCCAAATTCCAAGATCGGAAAGTGCTCTCTTCTGACTTGAATTGAATCCAAGGCACACCTAATCCTCTTCAAATCATATATGATTAGCTCACCACTACGTAAACTCCCCTTGTTCACTTGCAAAGAGCTTCATATGGCCCAAGCCTCATGAATTGATGAGATCACCCGCTTGGTGATGTTTCATTCTTCAAAGATAAGTCAGAAATCTTGGATATGTCATGGAAAAAGCAAGGACTTAAGTGATAGTAACTCGTTTTGATCATAAATTTGCAAATACTATCATTTAAAGCACTGTTTCCTCTTCACAAGTGGCATCGTTCTCGAGGGCTTCTCGGGCTTTTTCCATGATCGCTGCTGTGCGTTCATTTGGAACAATGAATGTCTTTGACAAGCCAAAGAATCGTTCATAGGTCTTCAGCACCTCTTCGTGTTCTTCTAGCTCAGCAAATGATTTGAGAAGACTGTTGATGAGGATAGTGAGAATGACCGGAGACTTCACAGATCCGATCATTCGAGGAGAGTTGAGGAGTGATTCAACAAATATCACAGAGTTATCGAGATGAGAGCGAGACGAGGAATGTGAAAGATTGGAAGGAGGTTGATGGATCGAATGATTTGTGGAGATCAGTTTCCTGTACTCAATCAATCCCCCTAGATGACCAATCAGCAGATGGTATTCGAGCCATTCATCTTCATCGGATACTAGTTCATAAACTTTCGTGCGACTCATTCGGCCTAGAAGCTGGACCACATCTTTCATTCTTCCACTACCAGCGCGACAGAGTACGCCGAGGGTCGGAAGGAGATGAGGTAGACCTAGTTCAATTTTTTGACGTACAAGCTCACTGACGATCTTGAGACTTAGAGCTGGGAGCATATGACGGTAGGAGAGTGAGAGGAGGCTGAGAGAGAAACCTTCGTCGAGGGTCTGAGACAGTGCCTGAGCATGGCTTTCCGAGAGGTGATGATAGCAATACAAGGTGGAATCTGGCTAACAGAGTGACGGAAAGCGAGTCAGTCAAGCACTGGAGTGAGACCGAAGAATTCTGTGGAGTATTGGAAAAATCATACATCCGATCGATCGACAGAGGCGCGCAAGAGCGATATGAGATTATCACGAAGCTCCTCTTCTTCGGTAGCAATTGGTAAAAGGTATTTGTTTGTCAAATCGATCGCTAGACGCAATTCACCATTTTGAGAAAAGAAACGAGTGAGTCGACTGATAAGTGCTCGATTAGGCTTCATTGTATCAGAAAGGCGGAGAAGGTATTGACGAAAGCAAAATAAACATTGGCCCATATTATCCTCAGTGATACTGGCTCGTATCAGAGTTTCTAGCATAGCAGGCGGTAGCTGATTAACACAGAGGCCCTTTTCGGACATACGCGACAGAAGGACGTCGGGAGCTTTTCCACAGTTGACGAAGGCTGAAAAGAGAAGTGACCAAAAGCAAAGATCAGCAGTAAGCGTACTGAGAAGTTCAGGTCTTTGATCGAGTTCTTTGATTATGAGATGAATTTGAGTCCAGAGTCCGAAATGGCCCAAGACGTCGAGAAGGGAGTAGTAGGCTTGTTGAATGGGTATAGCAGAGGGTTGATGTAGGTGTTCTTTTATTGATCGACATGTTCCCAGTAGGGCGATGAGGTCCTTAGATTGAGTATGGAGCTTAAGCTGGGACTGGAGTTCAGATACTGTCTTGGCATGATTGGTCTGAGACAACTTCAAATCAGGATGCTGATCGATGGTATTGGATGAAGAGGCAGTTTGAAAAGTTTGATAAAATTCACGATGCGGCCGACTGAGATTAAGTCTTGAGAGGCGGCAAAACCGAGAGGTGACAGACATTTTCCCCGTGATAAATATCGATCGTTTCGATTATCAGACGAACAGGACTTCAGGCTTGATGATTAGATAACATCCATATTCTGGGCAATTTTCATCAAGTTGATTTCACTAGCTTGTCCATATATCATTCCTCTTGTCATTGATCAGCCTGGAGGCTATGTACTTCTTTCGATCGAGGCTAGAAAGGCGGTTCGAAGAGTGAACGGTTCAAAGTCGTATTATGCCATGATGCAGAACATGAGTGCGTTGGAGGATAAAAATGAGGTTGGGAGACGGTGGAAAAAAACATTCCAGCCAGCTGCCAGCAACAAATTTTCAAATTTATGGTCCAACTCAGGCTAAGGTATTAGGGTATTGTCTTATACTCAGGCCCCCCTTTGGGGCCGAAAGACAGCCTTCATCTCACAAACACACTTTGCAAGCGCTCAATCCTGCTCAATCCACTATCGGAAGATACTTGTAGATGCCTCAAGTTGATAAAACTTGATATCAAATATCTGTTTACAGGCGTCTCCTTGCTTCTGAAGCAGTTGTTGAACCTTGACTGATGTTACACTTCGCTTCGAACCGATCTATAATCTTGGCCACGAGCTGCGGGATGGTTATACTTCCCTTCAGAGACGGTAATGATTCGGCTTGGGGGCTTATGTCGCCCTCACTAGCCACAGGAAATCCACCGATAGATTGCGTTGGGTTCGAGGAAACTTACTTCTTCGTCGACTGCGTAACTTCATTCTGATCTCATCCAAAGCAGATCATTTTGATCAGACAGGTCCAATGATTATCGCAGCTCTTTTCTATGGAGGTCCATGAACTTCAACATCAATTGCAAATAAACATCAAAATTGCCTGGATGAAACATAGCATCATATTTATCATCAGAGCCTGATGTTTCAAAAGTTGCGCAAACACGCTGTGAAACCTTGAAGCATCCTAGTATGAGTTATATCCACATACCGTTTCTATATCTCTATCGAAACTGGACCTCTTCTTCTAGTGAGAGTGACCATATAGACTTCCGCATGAACTGCGATCTTGCGATTGCGTCCTTACAATTTGAACTTCTTGGGTCACACATCCCAAAGCCAGTCAAAGGAGCGCGACGGTAAACCCTTGACTTGCTTCGCTTCTATATGATTATTCTTTTCGCATAATACACTACATTTTCTATCTTATCTTTCCTGTCGCTCGTTTTCCGCTTCAGTATCCCTGTGGTTTCAACTGGTCATTCTTTTGTCGGTTGTGTTACGATTTGACCCTGGTTGCATTTAGACTTGTTCCAATCACAGTCACCGCTGTGTCTTTCGACGTGGGTAACAACCCATAAAAATCCAACGGGAAAGTATTGGAGAAGAAAAGCGTCTATGCCTCCTTTTCACTTATTAAAACTATACACTCTCATATGTGGGGTCATCGTACCTTACATAGGAATTGTGAATGGAGAAAAGGCCATCGAAAATTCACCCTCGGGCGGCTATGCCCCCATCAAGGAAGATTGTCCGGCTGACTTCAAAATCAATATCAACTACACAGTTCAGTCTCTTTTGTTACTCAACTCGTTTTCACTGGCATTTCATCTTCGTGAAACTGACTAATGTATGACTTATCGATTGTTCTCGACTTCTTTCTTTTAGGCAATCATGAGTGAGGGCGAAGCGTCATATGTTCAAGAAAAAGCCTCAAACTCGGTGCAAGGATGGGCCGAATACCTCACAAGGGCGAATTTGACGGATTTCGATGTAGCTGATTTCCTATCACAAGCTACATCAACTGAAGGCAACGCTTTGGCTGGCAAAACTTTACCAAACATTGGATTTGCCGCAAGTGGAGGTGGACATCGGGCTATGTTATACTCTGCATCAATATTGGCAGCTTTTGATGGGAGGGATAGTGACGCGAGAGATTCTAGGACAGGAGGGATCCTTCAGTTGATGAATTATATCTCTGGCCTCTCAGGGTTTGTCTTCCATCTCTTGACGAATGTTTTTGACAGTGATCAGATTGAGGTAATATGTGGTTACATCACTTTTTGTTTAGAGGAGCCTGGATGCTTGGATCTTGGGCTGCCGCAGACTTTCCGGACTTTCAATCTATGCAAAACTCATCCTGGAAGTTGACGGGCGATGAGAGATATATCAAGATGGAAATTGGTCAGGAATATCCAGCCATATCGACCGACATCAAAAGAAAGAAGCATGCAGGTTTTCCAGTTAGTGTGGTAGAGTAAGTCATTGCCTCAACTAGGCGCTTTTTACTCATCATACTTTGTCGAACTGCATTCGTGACACTGGCAGATATCATTGCTAATCAAACGGATCCGCGAAAATTTGCAATCAGCTTGTGGGGTCGATTTGTGGCTGGAAAATTGATGTGAGTGTAAGATGCGCGCCTGCAAAGACTGGTTCAGTCTACTGACCTTCGCTTATGCTATCTTTCAGCGATGCTCCTAACGAAGCCCAAAAAGTTTTGTTCACTTCGATCAAAGAAACAAAGGCCTACCAAGCCCGAGAGGTGCCTTTTCCGATCCTCATTGCGGTATCTCGGTCTGGTCAGAGCTTGACGTTAGATAGTGCGATATGTTAGTCCCTGGTATATCTTCTCAAAAGTTTGATATCTAATGCAACTTACTGAATCATCGCCTTAGATGAATTTACACCCGAGGACTTCTCGGTATCACATCCAGGACTGAATAGCTCAATCCCAATGAAGTATCTTGGAACACGCCCACCAACTTTGGCTGATGATGACCCAGAATGTGTAGAAGGCTTTGACAACATTGGATTTGTGCTTGGCTTAACGAGTAATATTTTCACCACCCGAGATTCTTCTGGAGGATCCAACTCAGTTTGGTCCAAGATCACGCATACGTTGGGAACCCAGTCTATCTACGAAGGATTGGTACCTAATCCCTTTCAAGGATTTGGTGAATCGAATACTTTCCCAGACCACGATACCGATACTCTAATGCTAGCCGATGGAGGATTCGCCGGAGAAAAGCTACCCCTATTCCCATTGATACATCGGAATCTAGATGTAATTTTTGCAAGTGATGCTGTAAGTTTCTTAGACTTGTGGTTTTTTCTGGCCAGTCGTGTTCTTGTAAGAGAAAGCTGTATGAACCTTTTACGCTGAACGTCTGGTAACGGTTTCTCTGATAGAGCGTTGATGGTGGAACACATCCGTTATCGGAAGAAGGAGGATGTCAGTCATTTTGCCTTTTTCTCTTTTGACTTGTGGCATGATAAAATTGTGGGACATAAGATTGAGTACCTTGACTTCAAACACCCAGATCCAAATGGTACATCTCTGTATATGACTTACTTGAAGACTCAACAGCCTCAATACCACGGCTACCGTTTTCCAGAGTAAGTCCAAAATCCCAATGTGCGATTGGTTCCATATCCAAACTGACACATTTTAACACTAATGAATCCAAAGAATCCCCAACGCTCTGAACGGAACATTTGCGGAACGCGGATATAACAAACGCCCAACCTTCTTTGGATGTAATGCTACCCCGGAGACTCCAATAGTCGTATATCTGCCTAACTACTTTGTCGTAGCACCAACCAATATGACGACTCGAAAAATTACCTTCACGGTGCGTTTGATTTCCTGAGCAATTTCTCCGTAATCAAATACTGTCCCAAGTATGATATGAAGTTGAACTTGACCTTTGTATTGTGCAGGATGAACAAATCAAAGGATTCTTTAGAAATGGTCATGCTATTGCAACTCAAGCTCTTTCCAAATTACAGAATGGTGAAAATGGTACAAAGGGAAACCAAACTCTCACATCGGTTGATTGGCCGTCATGTTTGGCATGTGCTTTGATTGATCGTCAGAATACCCGGAACGGAAAAGAAAGGACCCCGCAGTGTCAACAATGTTTCCAAAACTATTGCGGATGACGGCCGATGCTCTGGGTAGATTTACAGATATTTTTCAACAGGACTACATTATTTTTTGGAATTCTAGTTTTTCTCCATCATATGAGAGATTTCATTTGAAGAAGTTTTCAAAAAACGAGAAAGTGATAGATGATGGTTTCTTAAATCTTTTTTCAAGAATCTGCGCATACGGTTTGGGAATTGGGAATCCTATGGATCTTGAAGCGTATATAAAGATAGCAACACTGGTACTATACCCAAGGGTTAAGTTGTGGAATTGAAAATTCAATGCAATTACGAAGATTAAAGTTTAGCAAGCAAAATGTTGGTCTTCAAAGTTCAGGTGGGGAGTTCATAGAAACAGTTAGAAATGGAAGGAAGCCATCTAAGACTATGTAACATAGCTCTCTGACATTCAGTCTTACATAGATCACAAAAAAGTTCAGAAGAAGTCGAGGAAGACTGAAAGAAAAGCAACAGACCAGCAGAAGATTGGAGCTATGATCCCCATAAGTGTGTATTTAAGGTAGCAACTGAGATGCAATCATCAATGATCAAGGGAGAAAGTGACAGCATCTCACCAATCCTCTTGCCCCCCATTGTACTGAAAGTGTCAAAATCTCAGTGAGAACTAGCTTAAACAGGTCATTCAAACCGCAGGCTTCCTCTTGATCCTGTTCAGGCTCCGGAAGCCGCGATTGGTGGGGCTTGTGTCAAGCTAGAAGTGAGGAAGGGTGTGGAGATGGTCTTCCTTTGCAATAAGGCCCCTGTGATTGGTTGACTATATACAAATCACAGTTACCCCATACAAAGCTTTTGAGAGACCGGTCGGATTAGGTTCTGATCTTCGCACCGTGGAGTCATAGTGTCGGTGCCTGAATCATACAATATGATGAGGATGAGGGGTCAAAGGAGTTCAGGAGATTGCTCAAAGTGGAAGTTGAAGTTCGGTCTTGCATGAACGGATTAAGCAAATTGAAACTATCACATCAGTGAAACTGCATGCATGTATCTGTGATTTCATTGTGAATTCCACATCACATCTCGATCGATTTCAGACAGACAACCACAAACACTTCATCATCAACCAACACCTACCAACTTCACTATCGTCATCAAATCAATACCACATCATTCAAACCTTCGACAATGGCCTCTTTGCGCTCTAGATCAAAAGAAAACAGCCAAGACTTCCATTCATCACCTCCACCAAATCAATCAGCAAAATCTGAAGAACCCTCTCAGCATTGGCTTCAACTTCGAGTCTTCAATCTTCCCTTTCTCCCAGTACTGGCATCGGCAGTCCTCTTCTTCACCATTGTCCTCGGAACATGTTACTCTTATTCGCTGTACTCTATCGATAACCCCAACCTACCGATTCATCAACTTACTCGAATTCCAACCTCATCACTTGTTTCAACACATAACGCTCATCCTTCAGTTCCTAGTTCAACCCTACCTTACTTTGCCAAAAAATCAAACTTCTTCAATCAAACTTTTGTTAAATTAGGATGGGCATGGACAAGTTTAGCCGTCTGGGCCCACCTTATCCTATTTGCTACTCATCATACAAGTCATTCAAAGGCAACTGAGGAGTCCGAAAAGCGTATCAACGACTCTAGACAGTCCACAAACGGATCACAGACCCAAATTCAATCTAATCACGTGGCTCGATCAATGACACTTTACTGTACAGCTACTGCCCTCTGGATCTTTCTTACACAGTGGTTCTTTGGAAGTAGCCTTATCGATCGACTCTTAGTTCTAACTGGAGCCGAGTGTGTACCAAGCATGATACATCCGAATGAGGGACCTGATAAGCTCAAGATCGCCGCTACTAAACTTTCCAACGCTTACTGTGAGCGCAGGTGGGGCCAACGCTTACCTGGACTGGATTCGGTAAGCAAAATTTTAGCAGTGTCATCATTTTCAGTAAGAAATCGAATTGTTGACTCACTCACAACAACTCTCCATAGTTTACCATTGCGACTCATCGGCCATACTGGAGTGGTGGCATAGATATCTCTGGACACGCCTTCTTACTCTCATTCTCAATCCTATTGATCCTCTCCACTCTGGCCCCATCAATCCGACTCTTATGGTCTTCCAAACCAATTCCAACCCCCTATCGAGTAGGAGTGTATGCCAACCTAACTTTAGTAGGAATTTGGTGGTGGATGTTGTTGATGACTAGCTTATACTTTCATGGTCCTGCCGAAAAAGCTGCAGGTTTGGTGGTAGGTGTAGGGGCTTGGTGGATTTCAGAGATGACTGTAGATAAGTTAATGGGTTAAACTGTATACAATTTTGTTGAAAATATTTCACTATCAGATTTTGCTTGTTATCTGTATTTTTTTCCCTAATGATTCAAAGTGTCACACCCCTCTTACATTTGATGGGGTGAGGTCACTGAGTCCTGCTATAGCAAACATGAAAAATTAATGTCGTTCGAAGCCTTCTATCTTGATACCTTCTTGTCAAAGATATTGTGGGTTCAGAGGTATCATGTGTTTGATAAATACCATCTACATTGAGACCTTTGATCTATTGTCTATGAGGTTGCGGCAACTATACATGAGGTGAAATTCATCGTGAGTGTAAAGCGGTAAACCGAAGAAGCCGGGGATCCCCTGATAACGCCCTGATAATGATGATAAACCTGGCACAACCCATGAGGTATGGGTTTGCGCCCGGCGTACAGGTTGCAATGTGTACAACCTCATCCTCATCTATGCCACTTATGTCAAAACCGACAAAACATATTGTCCCTTAACTAATACCTCAGAAACCCGCTGGCCAATTTGTGGGATCATCAATGTCACCGGCTGACATCCCATCACATCCTTCATGATTCATCCGACCTCAACACCCTGTCTGCAACATACCGTTCGACACATCCATCCGTACGTCGACCAAACTAATCGAACATGCTTCTACGCGACTTTACTATCCAGCTCATCAGCCAGTCACCCCACCTCTCTGCAACACTAACGGTGGCGGACTTTGTCCGCTTCGCCTCTCTCGCTGCCGAAGTAGAACATCGCGCCGGTGTATCTTTACGTCTCACTCCGACTAGGATCCCTGTACTACCCTTCCTCGAAGAGGCACTATCGGTCCAATTCCCCTTTGACCACCTCCAAGACTTATGGCGAATGACTTTCCCTTTCCTCCACGCGTGTCGAATGGATACCACAATGACCATTCGCGACCTTGGTCTCCAACATAATTTCACCACCAAGTTACCCGAAAGATTCCTACGCGCACCCTTGTCGCACTGTGTCATATGCTCAAACAATAACTCCCACGCCTTACACGTACATACGCGCCTCAACGGATACCTTCACGACATCGACGGTGTGCACCCAGTGCAGACCGTCATCCTGAGTTGTTCAAGTACGTGTGGTATACGAGCTGATCGTGTCATCCCAGCTGATCCCGATATCCTTCCCTGACATTTCACAATAGACCCACGATGCGATACCCAATACAGGCCCAGTTATTACACCCGCAACAGTTCTCGATACTACTACACAAAGGCAATGGGCCGAGATGACGATTATGTCCAAGTCAATTGTCATTATTACATGACTACCCGGATGGCCTACATGTTCCACGTGCTACAAATGCTAGGCCAGTAAGTTAACACATTCGACATCACTGGATTGAAGAAGGTACTGACAACCAATTCGAATGCAGCGTCTCCCATTTCAATCTCGTCAACTGGTATAACATGGTATTTGTAGATGAGGCAAATACCAATCTTTTCACCCCCGACCAATTATTTACTCCATCAATGTCGGAGGAAGAGTGTCGGAATGGTCTAATGCTCAATTCATTGATTAAGCACGCCGATCGCAGAGGCACCACCTTGGTGGTCAGCTCAAGTGGGACAGACAACATATGATTTAATTCGGCTATCGAAACCCACCTAGAGCAGCTGCTGATCGAAGGAACAAGATATCAAGACCATTATTGCTCAACTTGTGTACGATTATTGCCAGATGGCATTGATCCAGTCACTGGCCATGGTTTTTACAAATGCATGAGTTTTCAAACAATCTCTGACTGTAAACCTTGACACCACGACTGACATCCATTCTCGCAATCCGTCTGGCGTGGTTGTTGTAATCGTGTCCGTCTTAGCAATACGGGCGGTAGTGACCGATGGTTTGACCATTGGCCACTGGCGTTGTAGTGCGACAACGGTGCAGTTGTGCGAGATTGCCCAATCTGCAGGTCGCCCTTTGCCAGATGGTCCATGTACAAATAAACTCGCCAATGTCAATGACAGGTTCTGCCCCAATCACTTCGCAATTCTCGGAGGTCGATGTCGAGCACAACCTTGTCCTCGTCTCTCTGCTGCCGATAGTGACACTTGCGAAGACCCAGAGCACATCAACCAGTGGGCCAGTTTCAAGAAACGAGTCCAAGGGAACTTCTCTCTCACCGCCATTCTCAACCGGCCTGGCTCGAACCTTCATCCCGATCCTACCCCGCATCTAGACGCCGAAACTGGACTATTCCACGACCTGGAGAGCCTGCAGCAAGCCGATGAGTCGCAAAGGGCCCACAAAGCTGCGCGCGACGGAGGCGCATCGCAGGCTGCTGGGAAATATGTGCTATCAAGGAGCCATACCCACAATGACCAGCTCATTGTGGCTCCTTGTGGAATTATACTGGCCCGAAAAACATTCTATCATGCGGAATCTGTTAGTGCTGTCAAAGTGAGTTAGTTTCAAAAGAATCAAAAACAATCCGGGTCAATTTCTTCAATAGAGATAATACAACATTGAAATTCCTATCTTAAACTAACTCTTATCGTGGTCGTTTTTCATTTCAATTGTTTTGAACCGCTCTCCATTCTCACTTTCATTGCTCTTACATTCACATCACAGGATTTTCTTGAGGAAACCTTCCCCCGAGGCATGCCCAAAGTAGTGTTTTATGATAACGCATGCAGGTTAACCGAGCACATTTACACCGGCCATTCGGCCCTTCCCACTTCAAGGGGACTGTCATAGCGGTGGATCCGTTCCACCACCGCTCTCACGCTGAAAGCAATCAATTCTGCAAGATGTTCACCGACCCCAAACTATTTCCTGACATTCAAGAAGATGGTCGATGGATCTTCAATGCCTCTGCGGCGGAATTGACTAACATTTGGTATGGAGGTTTTGCCTTGATGTGTCGGAACACGTCTTCACTTATCTACAATTTCTTCTTGGAAGAAATGGTGTATTTGAGAAACAAATGGCTGACCAATAAACTGAACAAGAGGCCTGGCGTGGTGTACATTGGGGAGGGCGCCATATAAACTCGCTCGTTCTACTTCGGCTCTTTCCTTCTTTTATATCAGCCCAAAAAATGTCATGAACTATCAACCTTTGATATGTAAACACGTAAAGCTTGCTATTCCTTTGTCTGATTGACTCGAAATCATGAAATCCAAACAAGCAAACACTGCGGAAGATTTGATATAATATACACAACACTATGAACTTCTTTTCATGGGGTGTTAGTGTATTGGTACATGATGCTGACTTGGGGGATCATTCAGAGTACCTTTCCCAGGTGAAGGTGGCGTGCACATTTCTGCAGCTTAGCTATCTTGACGGTGCCACCATCAAGTGTAAGTGAGTCTGATGGGTTGCCAGGTAGGTTCTTGTCATCATAAGCCCAACAAAAAGGAAAGTTGTGGAACCAATAACCCAAACATTGAAAAGAATTGAAAAGATTACAATGGCAATGACAGACAAAAAGGATCTATACTATGTCTATACTATGCAAAATGCAAAATATAGACAACTGATTGCCAATTGTCTACATGGTGGTCATCACATCACTCACCACCACCATCCAAGTAGTATGTAGGCGCGCGCGCACAGATGAACTTGTAAAATGACAAGTTTGAAAATGCTCATTTCGCATAGTATAGAATGTCACTCCAGTAAGTACTCCCTGACTTCCTGATGGCTGAAAGGAAGATCAAACATAAAGCATCAAACATAAAGTTTTATCTAACTAAGAGATTTTTATGAAAACAAAATAAAGTATAATACTTTATTATTTTGTAAGATCCTGCAAGAACACATGTTTTGTGGCAATGAGTAAGTACAAAAAGGGCCTGAGTTTGGTGGTAGTCTCACTGATTACTACTGCTGGATTGCAAAAGTATCAAGCATAAAACATTAAAATAAATTCAAAGGGTCAGGGGCTACAGCAATGATTATGTGTATAGGCAATTTGGAACTTTTTTGCACAGTGTATAATAATGTAGGTCTAGGCGCACACAGTGCGTCCATGAAGGGTTAAAATGTCCATATGCTCAAAAGAGAGTATGGGAGCCTTTTACATGGCAGAAAAGTGTCTGTCTCACTTATCAGGCCTGATGGGCTGATTAGTGGAAAAAATTATCCAAGCACTTGGACATTTGGATGAAAACAAAAAGAAATGGCGTAGGGTAATAATTGCGTACTGAAGTGGCTTTGACAAACAAGGGTACACTTTGCTGTCCCACAAGCAGCATCCCAAACATTCAAAATTGTTTGAAAGGCAAGCAATGTTGATTACCCAAAATTGGGAACAAACTGTGAATGTTTCAAAGTCTGAAAGCACGGGTTATAGGAACAATGCCTGATAAAAAGCACGAGGCTTCTGATGAGCTACTCTGCACAACCAACAACTCTAAGTTAAAGTCTTCTGACCTACAACATCAAGAACAAGTTATTAGAAGACAGTTAGAGAAACAAGTTAGAATAGAGATGTACCTATAGACAGGTTCAGAATAGCGGATTAGGTTGTTAGTTGAAGTTATCTAAAGCTTCAATAACTGATCTTTGGGAACAAACTGTGAATGTTTCAAAGTCTGAAAGCACGGGTTATAGGAACAATGCCTGATAAAAAGCACGAGGCTTCTGATGAGCTACTCTGCACAACCAACAACTCTAAGTTAAAGTCTTCTGACCTACAACATCAAGAACAAGTTATTAGAAGACAGTTAGAGAAACAAGTTAGAATAGAGATGTACCTATAGACAGGTTCAGAATAGCGGATTAGGTTGTTAGTTGAAGTTATCTAAAGCTTCAATAACTGATCTTCGGACGAGTGCAAGAGACAGTAGCTTCACAAGTCAAACAGAAATATGAAATAAAGAAAATATAATATAACGGCACAGTTGTTAATAATGGAATCGGTAATAAGATAGTGAAACGGAAAAAGTGAAACTTACGTACTTCTCTTCCCAAAGATGGGGAAAAGAGAAGTACAGTGGAGAGGAAAGAATTAGTATAAGTAAGTGAAAACATTTGACTCGATTGATTGGGGTAATGTTGATGTAACTCCTTTCATTTCCTTCTCAAAGTGAATCTTCTTGCTCTTCTTTCGATATGATGAATCTAATCTTTTGATGTACTTGAATCTGCTTGCTTACGTCGATTGGAGTTTTCAACACAAACTTTATGACAATGTCAACAATTATCTACAGTACTAGCAAAAGTATATACAAAAGTTTACACGCAGAAAGGATAATGACTGCAAACATGAGAATGTCATCAATGGGCTGGCTTAGAGGCCAATATGTTCCAGTCCAACATGACTACTTCTCCTCGATGGGCGTTGGGTGATAATGAGTTGTATCTGAGTAGCCTTTTTAGAGTGAGTCAGTGGGCCATCCATCGACCAACGCTGGGTATTTAATGTAGACGGCTTACCTGTATCTCCCAGGTGTGATGGAGTTCTACATAAGACACAACACGGCCACGCAAACTAATGAGGTTGCCTGAAGTCAGCGCATTCATTGTGAGTGTTGAGGTGATGTTAGTATCCAACAAGTAGTTTGCGTGGAATTCAACACGCCGAGTTCGCTGTGATGGACGGAAACAATAAAGTATCGTAAATATAGACGGATGAATTGGGGAATGATGATGAGTAGGATGATTTATTATCGCTGACCGTAGAATTCCAACAACGATGCATGACTTTGATCACTTCCACGGGTGCTCCACAGGTTTGCCTGGTTGACCATTCAACGATCTGACCAAGACCTTGCGCCAACACTTTGTTAACCATACATTGGGGGCGTACTTCAGCATCGTCAATCTCAATGGTGTTTGGAAAATCCTCAAAGAGCATAGGGCGGTCATCAGGACCCCAGACGCCAACTGGTCCATCGAGTCTGTAAGGGCGATTTTCTTGTAATTCACTCTCGTCCCTCTTCGCGGCAATCTTCAAACTGATGCCATGAAGACCGTTCTGATTAACGATCACGCAAGATTTGAAATAGGCGTATCTATGCTCAAATAGACTGTACGCGTCGTTTATCTACACAGATAGAGGCAGGTCATTAGTCATGTAATGAGAAGAAATCACGACAAATGTTGTAGGTCTTACTTCTTTCTTTGTCCAGAAAATACTACTAAAATGCAAAGGAAGCCCAGACGATGCTATATGAAGTTCCCTCAACATTTACTTAGTGGAAAAGGGAGGAGAGTACAATTACAATTGAATATTTCAATATATAACGTAATCAAGTGGATGAGAAGGAGATGTGAAATAATAGCAGGTTTACAGAAGGAACAGTCTCTTTTGTAGCTCTCTAGAGAACATGGCATCGATGAACTCTCATGCGTACATTGATGAACTCTCATGCGTACATTGATGAACTCTCATGCGTATGCCATGGCTTGGCCTCCTTGTGGTTGAAGTGGCAGGTATACACTGCATGGATGATGATCATGGCATCCATCCATGTAGGGCATCTATGATGTCACACGCCGACGACGAGGACTAGAGAGGTTGTCTAATTGTGTCTATATAACTAACATGTTATATGTTGCTCATTTTGCGATGAGAGTCTCAACGCATTCCACTTCATCAGGGATTGTCATGGAGAGGAATTAATATCCCGGTGTTCTCACAATGAAACATATTTAAATACTTATTGAAATACATATCTAACCAATCTCCACACCTAGATACTAAAGTGACAAACGGTAGTTTATATGTACATATAGGATACAGATGAGTTACTAAACAAAACTTTTTTTCTTTGCGGAAATATTACCGAGGCGAAATGGTGATTCAAATGAGTTTACAAGCATTTCTGAGCATTGAATTAGAAATGCAGGGTGCATTGTTTTGGGTGCAGTTCATTTAGGCTAGATTGAAAAAAAAAATCGTAATTAGATATCCAGTTATGCATGGTACGGAGGAACGTCACTTACGGTGAAGTTTAGCCACTCGGTTGAACTCTTTGTGAAAGAATGAACGAGCTTCAGCAACTGTGGCTGTGGGGTTAGCGCGATAGTGGTCTCCCATCGAAACCGGGCCTTTCGCGACTTCTCTCACAAACGCGCGATATCGGTACATTGTCCCAATGACACACTTCCACTCAGTGCCCCACCGAGAGTGCCAATCCGCCCTGGGATTGCCACTAATCGTACTGTCTTCATACCACGCTACAAGTGATGAAACGAGAACAGGTGATGGCCAGCCAGACTGGAGCGCGGCTGCGGTGGACGCTGGTGCCACAGCGGTTCGAGTGCCTGTTGTTTGGATAACTTATCGACTCGTTCTACTAAAAGCTCAATACTACACGACAACCTTCTTCAACTATAAAGCTGAATCTGAATCAAACCAAAGACTTTATCTAAAAGGAAGGAGGTAAACAACACATTTCTAACTTTGATCCTTTTGTTATAAATTGTTATCAAATAGGATTCTTATCTAATTTTAAATCATTTACTCTAATGTAGACTCCTTGTGATTACATTGTTTGATTCAAAATTCGTGTTATAAAGTTGAATCCTATTAGTGTAGTTATTGTTAAGGTATTACCTTTTTTCTCTTTATTCTTTTTCATCATTATCAATTGTGATTACTTACATTAAATGTTATTATTGTTAAGAAATTAAATTTATACATTTGCTCAAAACAAAGAGAGATCCTACCTGTTCACCACAGGTTTGATGTCAACCTTGCTGGCCTGTGTGTCGATTTCGTTATGTACTTGGTCGGGGGAGTCTGTTAAATCGATCATGATGGCGTTCGGTGGTGTGGCAGGAGGGGCACCCTCCTGTGAGATGGAGAGGCTGGGGACGGGTGTAGTCTGGCTCTGTATACTGTCTAACCCGGTCGTGGTAGTTGGTTGAGCTTGGAGTTCAGCTTTGGTATTGGCATTTTGTGTTGGTTCTGTGCCAGCACGGGTTAGTCGGCCCGTCGAGGTACTTTCCGAACCGGTTCTGGGGGAAGAGGGCAGGTCGCAGATTGGGGGTAATTCCATTGATGATATAAAGGCAGAGACGGGGGATTTTGATGGGGAAGCCTTGGTAGACGAGGGAAGGGCACTCAGCGGGACTTCGACCGAAGGGAGTCGCACCACGATTGTTCGTTGGTGGGCTGAGAAGCAATGCGGGTAACTGTCTAGGGTATCGCGCTACATGTGCAAAAGCAAGGTCAGTTATGTCTCAATGGTCAATCAGGCTCATTCGGTGGCCAAACCTTACCCATGCAGTGATCTTCTCATCCCAAAAGATAATTGCTCGATTCCAATTGGGCCCATTGGCTGACTGCAGCGCTTGCACCAAAAGAGGACTTTCCCCAAAACAAGCTTTTGGCCAAAACGGAAACAACACAGTGATTGTCTTAGGTTTTACTTCCTGCGGTTTTTTCCATGGTGTTCAGCGCAGTGAAATGAGTGAAACGGTATCCAAGTTGATACCGTGAAGGTCAGCACTCACATTCAGCCATAATTCAATCATCACTAGCTTGCTCTCATCGATGAGACTCGCGGCCTGACGTTGGGCGGCTTCATCTCGTTGCTCGCGATGGTTCTGGAACATTGCCATCGCTTCTTGCGGCACACGTCGTCCAAGAGAGTTTGAGGTTTGGGCCCATTGGTGATGGCGAGCCTGTGATGCCGTACCTTTAGATTTGCCTCGGGGTGTGGGCTCATTAAGAGCGTGGACGCTCGAATGAGCCATGCGATTGACCAGTGGGTCAGGAATATCCAAAGGAGTGGAGCTGCGAGTCGGGCGAGGGTGTTTTCGGCAAAGCGGGGTGCCGTATTGTAGACAGCACTACAACGTGGGTTAAACGATCAAAGTCAGTATGCAGTGGTTAGTTAAAGATTATGAACTTACTCCGAGGCAATACTGGGAGAGGCAGTCTGTCAACAAGCACGGTATTCCTACCGTCAAGTTAATCACAAAACCCAAACTAAGGCCTTCAGATAATATAGAAATAAGCGGAACTAAATGAGTTTGAGGCGTGGACAACACTAACCAAGATGGATTAAAGGATTCTTTAACAGAAGTTGGAATGTAGTGGATGCTGTGGAACTGATTAAGCTGGAAAGCTATTTAGTTGGTTTTATTATTCTACTAAAAGATGAAGAAAACAAAATGGAACAAAGGAGAAACAAGCCGGGTTTTATACCCTCATCAGTCTTTACCACGCTTACAAGAGAACACTTCGCACATAGTATCTTGAGTTACGTATTTCACGGAGTTCCGCTATTATATGACAGAAATGAATCCCGATTGAGCCCAGCACTCCCTTCGCCAAGAGTCGTCCCATAATACAATTATGTAATCCATCCGTCGGATTGTAAACTGCCCCAGACCAGAAGACTAGCAGCTCCCACTTGCTAGTCAGATAGGTTTTGGATTTCAATGGAACTCGAAGAGGGTTCCCAATCCTTTCGAGAGCCAAGAACTGGGGTAGTCTACGTTCCTCAAGATTTCATAACATCATTGATTAATTCAAGATCTCTCGCACGAGTTCGATGAATTTAAATGATCCAGTTATGTAATAAAGGAAAAAGAAAATAGATAGAATATCAAGAAAGAAATAGAAGAATTGATCTTTGAGAGAAACTAATAAAGAAAAGGAGTGATGAATAGAAATGAATATAACTCGTTCAATGTTCTTAAGTCATGTAGATAACTGTTACTTGTTAGCTAAGAGGTAAGTTGTCTAGGCAACTTATGCCCTCGCTGACACTCCCTCAGACAAAAAAAACCGAAAAAAATGTCTACATCATTTTTTTACCAGTTTTTCCTCTCTCGCCTCCTTCCTGAATCGTCTCAGTAGGGTGGTTCCGTTAGGAATTTCGTCTTCATGGACCCACCGCGCCAAGTCCGGTGACCGGTTTTTAAAAGAGACAAGGAATTGCCTTACTTTTTTATTACCTTTAGTCACTACTCGTTGTTGTAATACTCGTTGTATCACACCTTCCTCTTCCGTTAATTCCGGAGTCGCTTTTTTGTTTACCGTTCTCCTCGGGAATTTATCGGAATCGGAGGAGATATACAACTTCATCAGCGACACTGGGAATACCGGATGTCGCCGAGAATAAGCCCCCTGTAAATCCAGCTCAGCTGCATTTGTTCCTACCATCTTAACAATCGTGAATGGTCCTATAAAAGGGTCTTTTAATTTTGGATTGCCATTCAGATTATTAAAATGGACAGTCGACAATAGTACTTGATCTCCTGCTTTAAAAGGCGGAACAGTATGTGTTTTGTCCCATCGCTGTTTTTCATACATAAAGGCCTTTGTAATGCAATCGGCGGCATGTAATCGCGCAAGTTCCTGCATATGCTAAAAGTTTCCCGCAGATGGGTGAACATCCAGCTTTCCTAACTTCTTATTTGTTAGCATCCGCGGATTTTGAGGTATATACCCCCTTTCCAGTTCGAACGGGGTTCTACCCGTACTAGCATGGACACTGCTGTTATAAGCAAACTCCAAGCCTGGCAAGAGTGATACCCAGTCATGTGTGCATCCTTCACTGTCTTTATACAGCAGGCCGAATGCACAATATCGCCTTATCAAATCTTCCATTGTCTGAATGGTTCTCTCCGCGAGTCCATCCGTTTGGGGATGGTGTGCCGTTGACAGCTTAAGATCACATCCGGCTATCCGCATTAAGGAGGTCCAAAATTCCGACGTGAATTTTGGGTCCCGGTCGCTAATAATAGCCGATGGCAATCCACACTCATTCAACGCACTCTTCCACCATAAATGGGCGAGTCCTTTCGCATCAATGTCTTTATGACATGGTACGAATTTCGCTTTTTTCGACAAGCGACATACGATTACCAGCGCTGAATTATAAGAAACATTGCCTGCTGGTGGCAAGCCAGTCACAAAGTCCATATTTATAATTTCCCATGGCTTTGTTGGCTTTTGTATTTCCTGTAGTAATCCAAACGTCTTTCCCGTTTTTTTGTTGCCTCGCTGGCAAGTGTCGCAGGAACTGATGTACTCAATTACATCCTGGTTGTAATTCAACCACCATGCAGTGTTCTTCACCCGGTTCAACGTCTTATCCAGACTAAAATGACCAGCGAGTATATCATCATGGCAGAGCTTCATAATCTGCTCCTTCATGCTTTCGTGAATAACCAAGCAATGAGACCCCTGCTTACGGTAGTATAGGAGATCATCTTCATAGATAAATTGTCCTTGGTTGAACATTTTCTTCCAAGGCTCATCCAATGAACATACGATTTCATTATTCGTATTCCCATCAGGCTTTTTCAACAGCATTACGATTTTCCTCATGTTGGGACACAGAGCACATCCCTCTGCAACACTCCAGTAGAATTCGCTTTCTAAGTCCACAATATGCAGTCCAAATACCTCTGTGTCATCATCCGGTGCAACGCACGCTGGATTGTCAGGAGTATTAGGCATCGGGTTGCGCGACAAGCAGTCAGCGTTTTGGTGTTTATCACCCGCGCGGTGGCTAATAGTCATCCGTCCCCTGTACTCTTGGATAGCTATTTGCCACCGAAACATGTGCCTGTTCGGTGTTTTCATTCCCAGTAAACTTTTTACTGCCAAACAATCTGTTACCACTTCAAACGTGCTACCATCTAGGTAATAATGTAACTTTTCTAATGCCCACACCACTGCCAGGCACTCGAGCTGAGTCGCTCCATACCGCAGTTCGCCATTTCGCAAGGATCGCGAGATGAAGCATATTGGAACCTCAACCTCCTTTCCTTCAACAACCTGTTTCTGATGTAAGGCCGCCCCTAATCCTACGAAACTCGCATCGGTGTAGACAATAAATGGCTTATCAAAGTCAGGTAGTGATAACGATGGCGCCTCTTGCAGCATCTGCTTCAGGTTATCAAAAGCTCGTTGCCGCTCTTCCGTCCACTCGAAGGCTTCATTTCGTCGAATTAATCGAGTCAGGGAGAGCGCAACTAGCTGGTAGTTCTTAAGATATTGCCTATAATACCCACACATACCCAGGAAGCTCTGCACTTCCTTAACCGTGCGTGGGGGTTGTATATGACTAATCGCTTTCACTTTATTGTCGTCAACCGACATCAATATACCAGACACTATGTGACCTAGCACCTTTGTTGATTTAAACGCGAAATGGCATTTCTTAAAGGCGAGCGTTAGATTTATTTGTTCGAGTTTTGTAAAAACTCGCCGAAGATGTTCCACATGTTCTTCGGTGTTTCTCGAGTGAATGATAATATCATCAATATATATTGTCATCCACCCCTCGCGGATTTCCTTACTAAAGGTTTTATCCATTGTCCGTTGGAACACCGACGGTCCATTCTTGGGACCAAAGGGCATCCTCAAGTATCGATACATCCCACAGTGAGTTATAATTATTAGATAATTACTAGCTCGTTCCGTGTTCTTAAACTGGTGGTATCCTTTATACCCGTCCAATAACGATATCCTGGTTGCACCTTTCAGACCATGTAATATCGCATCAATCCTCGGCATACCATACACATCGGAGACCGTGTAATCATTCAGGGCCCGAAAATCGCCACACATCCTCTTCTTGCCATTCTGATATTGTATAATCACAGGCGAGATGACACAGTCTCGAGGCGTGCGGTCGATTTCCTCAATCACCCCCAAATCTAGCAGCTCCTGTATGCTGTCCTCGATATCTTTTCGTTTATGTGGACTACAAGGGTATGCTTTCTTCTTCAAGCTAGTGGGCATTTTATCTCCATCGATATTCAGGTTTATATCGAATTCATCCACCGACACCTCTCCAAGTTGTCGTTTGCCATGAGCAAACACCATTGGAAAATCCCGAATCACCTTAGATAACAACGTCTTATCTTCAGCGGGTAGCTCAGTATCCCATGTTGCTTCTGAAAACGCTTTTTCAAACGTGTCAGGTTCTGGTGTTGGTATACCACGTATCTCGGTATTTTTCCTTTTTATCTCCGTCTCCATCGACAGCAGTTACTTGCTGTGCAGGGATGCTTTTATCATATGTCAAGGCAAACTTTCGTTTCAAGTTATTACCCAACGTGAAGTATTTATCACAAAGATGAAGTCGCATCCCATATAATAACATGTTATTATTTCCCACAATAAAATATTGCGGAAGTCCCTCATTATCCATTACTACGAACTTCATTACCGCCCGGATGTTACCCCTCTCGTGCCCAAACACCACATTTGCAACATAAGTTCCAATAGGTTTGAGCACCGAGCCGTAACCCTTCCATTTCCCGGTGTCTTCATTTACCAAGTTATTTCTCCATTCCGGATCAACCTTTCGTAAATAGGCACTGGACACAACACTTCCGCCTGCCCCAGAATCTAGCACAATTGTGACCTCATTCTGGTGTACCATGGCTGTGCACCTCGCCGGGCATACGCCTATCACCTCACTTGGTGTTCGTACATATTCGGCTTCTTGTACATCGCGTAATTGCCCTAAATTGTCTGTTAGGAAATGTCCATGTAATATCTCTGTTTCCAGGATCATTACATCTGTATCGTTTCCCTGGATAGCATCATTTTCTACCAACTCCTCGTCTTCTCCCGAATATACGGATGACTCATCGTCTTCTTCGTCAATATTCAAGACTTTATTACACGTATGTCCCGGAGCCCAAGGACCCTTGCATCTATGACAGGTCTTATTCCTAATCCTGTCTTTTGATTCTCCTACCAACGGAATGGTAACTTTCTTCTTTTCTATACTACTCTCGTCCTTTCTCACGACAGTGGTATTGTTAGAAGTATCATTTCTCCATACCCGTCGTCCTGTATTCATGCTCGGTCTATTGACATCTTTCTGATTCGTCAATATCCTCTCACACGTCTTCAAGTATTTGGATATGTCATCCATACCCTTAGTGCTAATGCTAATCGTGTCTCGTACCTCAGCCGGCAGTTTCATCAAGATGTGTTCTTTTATATCTTCATTACTCGCTGATGGATATACTGATTCAATTTTCCTATGCATAGCCGTAAGAAATTGAATAATATCCTGCTCATTATACAAAAACTTCATCTGATGTAACAACGTTAATTGTCGTTGCCTCCATACCGGTCCGCCAAATTTCTTTGCTATCAGCCCTTTCCAGTGCTCCCATCCTTGCTTTTTATGTTGCTTATTCACGGCACGAAACCACGTATAAGCAATACCCTTAAGCAACGATGGTAGCTTCGAAACAATCTCAGAATCAGGCATACCGTGTGAATCCTGGAATGTATCGATTTCATCCACGAAATCTGACCAATCCTCATCCGGTTTTCCACTGAACTTCGGATAACTTTCTATTTTGGGATAGTTCCTCGGATTCGTGTATGAAGTATTAGATATTTCTGCAATATCCGAGTCCTTCTTTGACATGATGTCTTCCTGGAAAACATCCCCAACCATCGTATGATATGGTCTCTTTTCCTCTGTTAACCCGCGTTTTGGCATTATTGGTTGTGTTTCCAACATTACCGCTCTATTTCTATCAGCTTGTAATCTGGAAACGTTCCGTGCTACAGCATCGATATGGTCTTTCATTTCCTGAAATTGACGTGTAAACTCCACTCGTAATTCTCGAGTGCTCTGTCTCTCAATCTCCCGATCCAGAGTCAATTGCTCCATTGCCTCGCACATGTTAGCAGTGTCACGAGTCAACTCCTCCAACGCTGTACTGGTAAGATGCATCAAATTCGCAATTTCTCTCTGATCTCTACCGTACTGTTCTAATATCTCCTCAAAAGCAGCTAACTTGCTATCGAGCATACTATTAGTCTCAGTTACATCATCGATTAAGTCTCTCACCGAAATCATTTCGTCTCTAAATGATTCTATACTTTCGACTTGAGATCTCAACTGACCATTTATTGTGTTAAAATTCACTCTCAGCATCGTCTCCAGCTCAACTAACTTTGTTAGTGCAATGTTATTTGGCGGTAACGATAGTGAATTTATATTGCTAGTGCTCGCACGCCCCCTTGATCCAACTTTCACATTAAGTGGGCTATTTGTAGTAATAGGAGTTGATACAAGGGATGTAGGAACAATACCAAGCTCAGGCCTAGACACTATAACAGAAGGAACAGGAACAATAGGAGGTATGACAGATGATTGTAACGACGGTGAAGGTACAGGTTTAGAAACTTCTTTCCCCTTCACGCTTTTCTTACTAACATCATCCCTTCCGGCACTTGGAAGTTCTCTTGCTCCGTCTCTGTTGGTTGCATAGCTACCGGTTGTAATGGGACCATCGTTCCCTTGGGATATGGGTACGATGGGTTCAGCTCGATATGTTGCGGAACTACCGGATATGGCACCTTGCGCTTGTGGGGGTAGTTCTCGACTTGTCGAGGTTGATGTCCCGTCAATGGTATGAATCCGTTGTTGGCTCTTGGAGCGGACGGTGGATTCGGACGAGGTCTCACTTCTCTTGTGGGGTGATGGGTCCCTAGATAGGTGATCTCGGGAGCCTTGAGGATCACCAATCGAGCTTCCAAGTCGGCCACATGGCTCTTGAGTTGGAGTACCTGGCGCTCGTATGCCGTGATGGTTTCCCGAAGGACCATGATTTGATCGTCCTTGGGGTCCCTTCGGGCGAACTTCATGTCTCGAAGAGTTCGTAACCCTTCCTGACCTAAGTCCTGTGGTTATCACGGGAGGTAAGTCAAACAATCCCTTACCTCGCTTGGATATCACAGGGCCACTAACCTCCATGGTTGCGTTATTAGCACTCGCCGACGGATCTCCGTGGGTGTAAACTAATACGTCGTCTTGGTCATCGACGATGGCTCCCGCTCCTCCCTGAGCTTCCGCAGATGTCATAGAATCGGCCATTACAGTGTCTGTCGCTGCACTTATGCCCGTTCCTGTTTTACCGTCTTTCTTACCACTAGCTTTAGTGGTAATGACGGCTGCAGGAGCCAGAACAGGTGCGTTGATCTCATAGTTGGACATATTTCGTCTATTGAGATCAACGTCACCAGCCATTATGATGGTCGAGTTAAGCGGATGCAAAGAGTAAAAAGTATGAAGGAAAATGAAACGATCGGATTTGAAAAGGTGAATCAGTTAGTCAGTTTCTATTCGTACTTCTGTACTTATCCCCAATGAACAAACGAACCTGTAATGTAAAAAACTGTGTTTTTCGGCTAGATGTTGTTCTAATCGAAGTTCAACAAGATCGATGGGACAAGTACTACCACAGGACAATCAGAATCTGTCAGTTTTTATAACTAACCGATTCTCCCAAGCTCGACTTACAAGGAATCGGCTTTGGATTGTTGTTAGTGGTGAGGTGTATTACTATGACTTTCTTTAGCTGTTCGTTTCAAACCAAATATCAGTATTCGGATTCGACAAACTTTATTAGTAAGGTCGAATCGCGATTTGATCGGTTTATTATTATAACCTGCAGATATATTGCGATGTTATAATAAGAGAACTCAATCGTGATGGTAGGTATGAATTCCTAGCAACTTCGGCCAGACCCCCAATTGTCAACAAGCACGGTATTCCTACCGTCAAGTTAATCACAAAACCCAAACTAAGGCCTTCAGATAATATAGAAATAAGCGGAACTAAATGAGTTCGAGGCGTGGACAACACTAACCAAGATGGATTAAAGGATTCTTTAACAGAAGTTGGAATGTAGTGGACGCTGTGGAACTGATTAAGCTGGAAAGCTATTTAGTTGGTTTTATTATTCTACTAAAAGATGAAGAAAACAAAATGGAACAAAGGAGAAACAAGCCGGGTTTTATACCCTCATCAGTCTTTACCACGCTTACAAGAGAACACTTTGCACATAGTATCTTGAGTTACGTATTTCACGGAGTTCCGCTATTATATGACAGAAATGAATCCCGATTGAGCCCAGCACTCCCTTCGCCAAGAGTCGTCCCATAATACAATTATGTAATCCATCCGTCGGATTGTAAACTGTCCCAGACCAGAAGACTAGCAGCTCCCACTTGCTAGTCAGATAGGTTTTAGATTTCAATGGAACTCGAAGAGGGTTCCCAATCCTTTCGAGAGCCAAGAACTGGGGTAGTCTACGTTCCTCAAGATTTCATAACATCATTGATTAATTCAAGATCTCTCGCACGAGTTCGATGAATTTAAATGATCCAGTTATGTAATAAAGGAAAAAGAAAATAGATAGAATATCAAGAAAGAAATAGAAGAATTTAGAATATCAAGAAAGAAATAGAAGAATTGATCTTTGAGAGAAACTAATAAAGAAAAGGAGTGATGAATAGAAATGAATATAACTCGTTCAATGTTCTTAAGTCATGTAGATAACTGTTACTTGTTAGCTAAGAGGTAAGTTGTCTAGGCAACTTATGCCCTCGCTGACACAGTCTTTGTTTGCGGCGGTTTTATGACTTTGAGCAGTTGGGCCCTCAGTCGGTCGTTTGCAAACTACGGAAGGTTTTGACCTGGGTGCTCGTCCATTTGGCGTGTTTGCAGGGGTTCCTAAACAATTCAAGAAGGGATGGTAAGGATGTCCGGGATTCCGTTCAGGGGCAGGCGTAAGGACTTGTCCGGAAGGCGATATACGGGGACCCCAGTCGCCTTCTTTCGAAATGATTGGTCTGGGTGCACCGAGGTTGATGAGGGCGAGTTCATGATTAAGTTGATCGCACCGCCAGGTTTTCCAGTTGTGATTGTTCGCGGGGGTTGGGCACTGTGATGTGATTTGAAATGCGTAAGTAATCATCAAGTCAATGAATTGGAGCGCTTCACTTGCCCCAATGAGCCAGGAATCGGTATTCGCCCTTGAATAGATCATCGGGGTATCGCATACTGGGCAGAGTAGACCTACTGGTCCTTGTTTGCCGGGACCGGGGGGAAAGGGAAGGGGGGCGCCAGGGTTGACCATGCGGTAGGTTTCCTTGATGAGCGTTGGGACCGCCATCCTGACGTGAGGTGACCAAGATTGAAAATGGGTTGAAAGAAAGGCCTTCGGGTTCGTATTTATGCATGGCGACGAGATGCATTGGTGAAGGTGTGCCGTCTCTTTTTGGCGAAAAAAAAAAAATTCGAAACAGGGGGCCCAAAAAAAACCCATGAAACACGGGGAAACAGGGATCTGTGACAGGCGCTGGCAAAAACATTTCGGCCCAAATACATCTTTTGTTATGTTGATGTTCAGGTAGTACATGTAATATGTGAATATGCTTACAGTATGTTAGTACTGTGTAGCTGTATTATCACGTTATCAGTGATAATATCATTATCACATTATCAGGAAATTTCCCCGGGTTCTTTGGTGCTCCCGTGTAAAGCTGGGGAAAAGTGACATTGCATTGCACAGTGCCACTAGCAAAGCTTCAAGCAAGATGAAGTAACCAAAAAAATGACCCCTACATCAGTCAATATGCCTTTGAGGGTGGAATAGACACAGGAAGATTTGGCTTTTGAGTTACTAGTGTCCAATCAACAATAAACTTGAAACAAAAGAGAGCCCAGTAAAATTGAAAATCACATGGAAGCAAATGTTGACCAGGACAAGCACAAACAAGGGGGATCATCATACCTTGAACATAATGTAAGACAAAAGTCACTTGCTTGTTTACAATGAAAAATGATGAAAGACAAACATACACCAAGATGGAGATCACAAAGGAGGGAAAAGGGGGTCTTGAAAACATAATTGAAAGTATTTGAGATTAAATCAAAGAGCTAGATTTTTCGAAAGATGGAGAATGTAAGTGGAAGGTGAAGTGGTAAGGTGGTAAACAAACGATGACGGAAATACTGTACCTCAATTCAAAAGGTAAACCAATGATATCTGACCAAATAATGATTAAGATCTTAAGTAGTACTCAAGTGACTCAACATTCCCACATAATCATCAGTCAACAGCAAGTGACTAACAGCTAAACACCTCACTGTGATTGCCCCCAGAAGTTAGATTGTATGCATTGATTTGACCTCTTGTCTTTTGTCGGTTTTTTGAACCTCAGCTCATACAGTTTGACTTGACTTTTTGAGGTCAATAATGACCTGAAGGCATCTCAAAAAAGATGTTACTGCAAGGTATGAACTTTGTGAAGGACTGCATTTACATTGAATCAAGTAGCTGGCCTGTGAAAATGGTTATTGATGATACAATATGCCATGTGCCCTTCAGATTCCTAACCCTTTTTGAAAGCTATGAGCCTAGCCCAAGACATGGAAGATGACTTATTGGAGTCCACCAATTTTTGCACTATAGGAAGTGGTAGAGAGCCATTATGTGCGCAAAAAGAATTTGTAGAATTTATGGTGTCTACATCATGCATGGGGTAAATATTGTTCCAATGCACAATGTTGTCTCAATGATCACCTGTTTTCAATCCTCACACTTCATAAATGCTTACAAAACATTAGAAAATTTCTAACACAATGATGTGTGATACATACCAAGTGATTGAGTGTAGCAAATGTAAGCTTACAGAGCAGTGACAGGGCACAAAGAATTAGTTTGGTAAGGTCATGATGTCTAAACTAAAAGGTTGATCATCAAAAAAAATTAAAAACCATATAATAGCACAAGAAGTATTCTTCAAGTTTTAAATATCCTTGTCTAGGGTTCACCACTTCTGGAGAATCCAAATTGAAGCCCTTTCCTCCCAACCTTTTCAAAAGAGAACTCTGCAATGTTGGATCCATATTCTGAGAGTACAGAGGGGACCTTTTTGGTGCCTGTGTAATATGAGTGTCTTGAGCCCAGGAGTGTGGGACAACAGTGGCCAAATGAATCTCTTGCTATGAAGCTACATAAGAGCCCTCAATAAAAGCAAAACTTGCAATCACCTCAGCATAGCACTGGAAGATGCTGTCAAATGGAAGAAAAATTGGATTCTCAATCTTGAGGAAATCATCTTGTTCTGTTCAAGCTTACATACCATCAGTTCATAAATCCAGACCACCTAGCATTGCTCCTTTTTGAAAACCTCAGCGTCCCTTTTTGGAAGAGTCAGGATATTCTCATCTGAATCACTGTCCACTCTACTCTTTTTTGCAAGACCAAAAATCAACTTCAAAACTGTTGCCCGCGGTCATCGTCCCAAGGGCTGCAAGTCACGTCTCAGGGGCTTCACACATTACAACACATTTTTTCCAACATATCGACCCTTGAACCCAATTACACCACGAAGCAAGTTTCTATATATGTAAAGAACAGATGACATCCGCATCCTAGCACTCTCAGAAGATCAGTCAAATAAGCCTCCCTGAAGGAGAGAGAGAAACACGAATTCAAAAGCTAAAAACAAGATACAGGAGAACTGAAGTAAGCTCTAGGAGCTTTTAAGCCTTTGCCTTTTTGGTTTCTACTGAGCTTTCTACAGTGATTCCAAACTTTTCAGCTCGCTTCCTTTTCCGTTCTTCCCATTCTAAATCGGTTGGAGTAAGCTCAGTAGTTTTTGCGGGTGTAGCGTTAGGCCCATTGGATCGCTTCGATCGATCACCGCGTTCACCTAAGGCCCGATCTAGTGCTTCGATCTTGACTGCAGTAGGTTCGCACCCAAATTTCTTGGCTCTTTCTAGTTTTTTGAGCTCCTCTGATCCAGCTTTATCGTCGGATGCGGCAAGACCGAAGCGTTGGGCACGTTGAGCACGCTTCGCGATCTCGGCCTCGACTGCTGACTGGTGGCTCTCATCGGTCTTGCCGTTGGGTGTCGCGTCAGAGGTCGTAGTTGGAGTTTGAAGCTGTTTGACCACTGAGGGATCGGATATCTGTGAAGCATTGGCGGGTACGACCGAAGCGGCAGGTTTGGCGGCAGAAGCACCCCCTGAGGCTGATAAAGACACGGTGGTGGAGGGAGGGACTTGAGCGGGGAGTGATGTGTTGGTATCTGGCGATGCAGAGTTCACAGTGGTCGATAGAAGACGAGTGATCAAGTCAGCCTTTGTTCCAGATATGGGTAGGCTAGCTTTGGCACAAAGGGCCTAAACATGAAAATTGACATCATTGGGCATTAGGTAGGATTCGAGAGGATTGAGTAAGATGATGAAGAACATACCTTCAAATCGGCCACCTTGAGCGCGGTCAAGGAGCTTTTAGATGGTGTAGAGGTGGCAGACATGATGAAGTTCGAGTGTGATGTGGTCTCTTGGAAGTTGTGGAACTGGCCTTGATCAACAACGCGACCGATCAGCTTGAATCTACATATGTATGGGATACTTAAAGCCATGACCTGCTTGACACCGACACTATGGCTTTACATATTCTATGTAACAAAGACAGCTGTCCACGTGAAAGCTTTGAAGTCAACGGTCTAATCACGTGACCAAAATTCCTCTCATCCATGACCATTATCCTGAAACGCAGACCGACCATCATCTCCCTGCTGACCAAACACAACAATGAACAGATAAATGTCGGAAGACAGGTGAAAGCAAGAGTCGGCAAATAAAGTTATAAGTCTATTGAACATATAGGAATATTCGATATCTTTTAATACGAGCAACGCTAGAACGACTGTCGTCCTCTCGCCAGGGGTGGTGATTTTGGCAACATGGCTGAACTTATTCAAGTCGCTCATCAACCCGAGCCGAAGTTTAACAAATGGAGTGATTCAAAAGAAAGACACGGTGGATTCGTAGGTGATAAAGTAGCGATAGGTAGGTTATGGAATTATGAAAGCTTTTTAGTGTTCATCAAATATTCATCGACGACTCTGTGTTTAGATGTATCCGCCTTCCTTGCTTTCTAGCTTGCACGATATCAACGTGAATATCTGTGTAGGCCATATTGAAGTTAAATTAACAACTCGATATTAGAAATAGGTTGTGAGATAAAATTGGACGCAGTTTCTCTGCGTGGAATAAAATCCATGCTAATGATTATCGAGATGTGATTTGTTCAAAAAACAGGAGAAGGTTTTTTTCAGATACATTCTTTCAAATTATATTGATTTCACAAGGGTCCCGACAACTCTCGAGATTGTGTTTCTGCATGCGCAAGGAGAGTGGATGTGTATAGTTGTTGGATGTTGTTTGTCGTACAAAGGCTATGGACTCTGGATAGAAAGAAGCAATATATCATGGTTGACTTGTACTTATAGGGTGTATCACCACTTTGATATGAGAATTGAAATATCTATGTAGGGGGTTGGAGAAGATCGGAAAGGCTCTGTTGACTGAAGTACATGACTATCCCAATTTGGCTTTTTGTATGCGCACACTCCTTGTTTCAAAGCGCATATATCCTTGAAGATCTCTCATTCGGAAAAATGACCATACGGCTGCTTTCGGCCACAAGAATGATGTAACGGTAGGGAGATCTCATCAAGCCTTGATTTATACTATATCGACAAAAATAGCTTTGTAACACAAGCAAGACTGTAGTTTTCCAGAAATGTTTTTGGATAAGTCGTACCATGTGGTGGTACACTTCAGTAAATTCAACTCGCAAAGGCATTTGATCATATGTCCCTACTCTCGGTATCCATTCAATTCACTGATAGAAGGAACTTCGCTATAAAGCATAGGTATCCGCGTCAAAGTGTGAAAGCTGTGACCTTGGCTAATGTGCTCTAACAATGTATTGTGTGCATATCAAATGCTTGGGGTAGCTTGATGGTACGGGGTCCATTGACTCCTTGTGTAGCTAGGAGGATTGCCACTGACATTAATCACAAAGAGAGAAAACTCTTCACCAGATCAGGGTAATTATAGAAACTTTTGTCTTCTTTCAAACTCTTCATAGTCAGAGATGAAGGCGAGCAAGAACGAGGAAAGCTTAGCATAGGCTAAAAGAATGAGAAGAAATGATTCTTGATAAGGAGCAATTCTTGATATCGTTTAGAAAATATATCTCTATGCTGGTAGTTTTCGCGAGAAGCGGACTAGGAGAATGAGATGAGGATGTGTCAAAATTACAGATAAATAGAGATGAAACAAAAGGTGTAAGGAAGTAAGGGAGAAGGGAATTGCAGAGTGATAAGGTTCTGGGGCGAGATGAATTTTGACTTACTGTCTGCTGATATCTCTCAGAGGCTGTGCTGATAATTAGGGTTCACTTCTGAGCACTGAGTGGCCTATCCCCGCCAGGAAAATGAATACATATATATCCTCCGCTACCTTCAAAATCTCATCCTCTATGTAATCACCGTGCCTGCAATCACAGGGTTGTGATTGTGTTTATCCCTTGGCGCGTGCTTCTATCGACAAGATTGGATCGAATTTATTGTTGCGTCGCCACGAAGAAATTCGCTGGACAAATGCGATAGAATGCGATCTTCTAGTGCACGAGCAAGTAACGTCAGATTAATATGCCTCCGACAAGACTCACGCTCCGCTCGCAGGGCGGTATGTATCATTTCTAGTGAATTTAGCAGATGAGAGCTGGTGAGAGCGATCAAGATTATGGATCCATCCATGCACACCGGCCATTATGCCGAAGTCAGTCGCGTCAACTGGCAGCGGTGCAGATTCACTTGGCATTTATAGTTCCATAAACAATTTTTGGTTCAAGCCAACAACGGGGGGACTTGTCAGTTGTGATCTGCCCTGGACCACCCGGTGTTTGTTCTGTTACATAGGTGTCTTCAGCTCATTGCGGGAGATAACGGAGCCTTCTGAATTACGCCATGCGGAAGCTGGGCTAAGGATGCCAAGAAAGAGGACCCTCGAAAGCTCCTACTGAGGTATCTGATGAAAACTGTTTTCGAGTTTTAAGGCTCTACACTATGCATCAGTGCTCGCCTCAAGACGGAGAGCACATCAAATGATGCGCTCAGGGTAAGGCTATCGAATGAGCCCAGGCAGAGTCCACCAAGCCTTCTCACTACGGCGTAAATTGCAAAGGTGCAATTTTTTTTCGACCTCCAAGGCCCAAACCTGACCATCGATTTGTGGCCAATTTTCAGCTGTTACAGCCAAATATCTCCAGAAATACTGATGCCGCGAGGCTGCAAGTTGGCTCAAACGAAAGCCTTCATTCTCACGCGCATTTTAAGCTTCTGTAGGTTTAAAAAGGGAGCTGTTTAGTGCCCGAAAACTCTTCCAACAAATGGTCAGGTTTTTCATTAATCTCATCTCGAGAATTTATAAATACAAAAGCTTGACCAATTCTGATTTTTGCCTGCAAAACTCAAGCAAATTGGTGGGGAATTTGTGACAAACTTTTCTGACTGAACTGTAGATGAGACATCAAAGGAGATCAAAATGGATTATCGCCTTAGCATTTCATATTTTCATCCTCCTTCTGATTTGCACCGGTGCTGTTTTCCTTTTTATATTATGTTTGAAGCTATGGTAAATACAAAGCCTTAGTCTTCCGCGTCCTCAGCTTTAAAACATTTCTATATGTAGTACATATATGGTACTGTGTACAGTCGATTGCAGAAAGTTTGGAAACTTTTGCCCGCCAAACTTGAGCAAACTGGCGCGGAATTCTTTCCAAGCTTTGTGAAATTGACTGTACATGAATCAAGGAAATGGCCGCCATAAGCCGCCATGGTGCACAGGCAAGCACAGACCCACGAGAGAGTCGCGACCATGAGAGTGAGAAATGACAAACTTATCCACGTCTTCGACGAGCTTCGACGTGCTCTTTTTTCCTCGAGAGCAGGCCTTGTGCAAGCTGAGAGAAAAACCAAGGTGCGAGACAAACATGAAGGGTCGAAGTCTGTTGAACTCTTTTAGGATCCTATGAAAGATTCCAAATGAACTCGAACTAAGGAAAAGAAACTTGACTACATCGTACAATTCTACCAATTCAACTCAATCCTTTCTGGAGCGTTCTCGTTCTCAACTTCTCGCGAGTCGATCACATCTTTTGCATTCATACTCATATCATGAACTTAAATCTTGTTCATTGTTTAAATAAACTCAGTGTACAAGACTTGCTCACCGTATCTATTCTGAGCTGAAATTCATAAAGCTGACTAAAAGAAACTTTACCCCTCTGTCGATGAACAAAAATCTTCACATCGTAGAGCCACTGTCCTGATATTTTCAGTTACTGTAAATTTTTCAAGCTCACCGATAAAGTCAACAACAGCATAGCTTTCACATAAGTAAGAAGACACGCTTAATTCGAGATGGAAATGTCCTATAGTAAGCTCTCTTAGTGTTAGGATTGATATCTATCCGTCTCAAGGGACCTTTTCGAAGAACAATAGTTTACATCGCCCCGTTTACATCCATATAGAGATTCATATATCATTAATTTCTTGAACTTGATTTTGCTTTTATATCTTCTTTATCTTCTTCAGTTCATCATTTGAAGACCTTTAAATAACTTGAGTCCAACTTAACTCACAGTGATCCACGATATAATTAGCTTAGATCGGTCGTTCAACTCCGTTCACTTCTTCACTTCCTTGATGAGACTGCCCATCCCTACTATCCCAAGTGAATTCGCCGAGCTGGCGCAGGAACTCGGCTTTTTAGCTTAAATTCAGCTCATTTTCGACCCGGAGATATAGAAAGCTGACCTAAATATCAACATCCTCCTCAACTCCTTCAGCTCAGTGGTCTCGCAGCGGCGCGGTCTATGTAAGATCGCTTCCATTTCAACCACATCGCTCCATCCCAATTAAATCCACTACACCTGCTCTAGTTTGCCCCTACAGGATGAAAGACTAGACCATTGAGAACTTATCATACAAGTCCAGTCCTCCCTTCTTTCCGAATCTCTTAGTGTTACTTCTTCCCCTGTGCGTCACTTCTCGTCGTGACCTGCCTCCAACTTCCGTTCGGTTGCCAACATCATCCGACTTACCCTCTAGTTTCAGCGCCGTGTTACTCTACTGAACCACTAACTACTATATCTCTTACCGTAGTTGATTCCCCTTACCAAATCACCCTCAAACATCTCACCTCTGACCATAAGCCTGCTCGCGTTTGCGCAGTTATATATACTGCGACGAACAGTCTCAGACAACTTTTCGCAAGCGCAATCGGAGTTCATCGTCAAAACCTGTCCCAGTTCTCGTTTCCTGATCCGGTATTTTGGTTCCTCCTCCCCACCTCTTTTACACCCCCTTGTACAAGTTCCAGCGTGGAGCATCTTTGAAAACTGCGTACTGACATTCACGCACGTAGTCCCTATCCGCGTCTCCACAAGACTTCCCTTGTGGCATTTGAATCCGATCAATCTCTTTCGAAATAGGAGAAAAAAAGTGCGGAGAGAGGCAATAGAGCGGTAGTAACCCATCTGGGAGCGCTCGGCACTTTTTCAAGCTTGTTCATCAGCTAAGTTCACGTGAGTTTAGTTTCCTGATCGATGTCTCATTCCTGATACCACTCACCTTGCTAAGACATTGTATCATTTTACATCTTTCTTACCGGATGTTTGACGGGGCTCCACACTTTGTGTTCCATCGAAATTCGAATGACGTCCACTGCATTTACTCTCCTAACCATTTGCACTTGCACGTACGTATCCATACGACGTATTTTCGGCCTTTCAAATTCACATACGCGTCTCGGAATGCTGGCCCAAATGTACTCCTGCCTGCGAACTGGGTTATCGGCCACACAAATTATTTCACTTGGTAGCCGCCACAATTTTCAAGACTATAACTCAATTCAAAAAGGCAGTGATACGCTTTCAAGGCACTCTCTTGCCATTTTTCAATCCTGTTGGATTGATCGCCTAGCTCAAAGAGTGCAGCCTCTGAAAATCTGTTTGCTCGATGGATCGTCTGCCACTACCCGGCTCACGGCCTACATTGCCGTCACTCCGATCCCAGGTGGGAGAATACCTTCCCGAGCCTGACCCGCGTAAATCATATCAACTTTCTCACGCTCCCGACTCCTTTCACTCCCATCGCCGACAATCGATCACTTCTTTATCGATCTCACCTGGACCACGAAGCTCTTTCTCAAGGCCACCCCTCACCGATGATCGCTCGTTTTCCTCAAACTCTTTGGGAAGCTACGGTAGTACCTCATCATCAGGACCTCATACATCATCTTCCATGCATTCTGCTTCAGGCTCGTACACCAACGGAGCTTCCCAGCCGTCCATGCATGCTACAAGATCAACGTGCGTGACGAGTTCTGTTGCTCCAATGTGATTCCATCCCTAGTAGATCCTGACACGTGTTCTTTTCTTGATGCTCTTGTCCTTCTCTTACCTCATGAATGTGGAATAATTGGATCCTATGAATATGTAGCGTCTCAGTCGCCTGCACCAATTGTCGATCTGCGCATCTCGCTTGCTCGGAGACCCGACCCTGCAGGCGCTGTGTTCAAACAGGTCGATCAGCCACGTGTATTGATGTAGAGGTTAGTCGCATCTCAATTCAATCATTCCTCCTTAGCCATCCTTGTGGCCATCGAGAGTGACTCGGATGCTGAGCAAATGGCCAGTAATGATTTCACACTCTTGTCATCATCTTCATAAAAGCCTCATAGGGCGGTATGAATGATATTCAAGTTAAATTGAGAAGGCGGCTGACTGTAAGATCCTAGAATGCTGATGTTGAAACTTCTCACTCTCCGCCTGTACCACACCTCTTTGCAATAGCCAAGGAAACGCGGCCGGCCAAGGGCTTCTGAAGCTCCTCCTGTCACCAATACCATGGCCACAGCGATGATGCACAATCTGAGAACGGAATCACCACGTTCAGGACGCCTGGGCTACCCTTCAGATGATTTGACAATCATCATGAGCACTTCCCTTCGATGTGCACGAGTCTCAGAAGCACTGACACACATCTTGGGATATGTGAGTAGTGAAACTTTCCAATCTGAATATGACCTTTTGCTCATAGTCAAATGTTCAATGTTATTAGGATCTACAAACAATGCTCGAGCAACCTCTGTCGGCTTTCATCAGCCGTGAAGAAAAACAAGATTATGCTCGTTTCTCCCTCAGATTACTTTCGTATCCTGGTGTAGCTTCAAGACCAGTACCAGTGTCTTCACAAATACTACACCAAACTCCTTACAACGAGCTCATCACACCATTAGCTGGAGCTCCTTCCCATGCACACGCCTTTCGGCTCCGAACCATCGATGGCAATTCCCTTCCTTTCCGATTCGAATCTTACCTCGGTGCCGGTTTCGGTGCTCACCCAGCCAAGCCAGACAGTCTAAGACTTGCATACGTCGTCCTTAGACTAACTTTGCTTACCAACGACGAGTCGTCTCGGCATAGCTCTGGATCCTTCCATAGTCCGTCTAGTTCTGGAGAATCCTACTGCACCAATCCATCGTCATCAGTCCGATCATCATCTCGTTCACGAAGCGATGTTCGAGGATATGATAATGAGATGTTGTCATACCCAAGACCATATTCCCAACCTGGTATATACCGTTAATCAACTCAATCCCCACTACTTTTGTGTTTGCTCCGAATTTCTTGGAGTACATGGTGTGTTTAAAATCAACTTTCCAGTTAGAATTATAATCCTTTGAGATTTATCAAAAGCAATGCATAATATCCTTATCCTACATAGAAGATAAAATCAGGAGCAAAGAAAGAATTAAAGTCCCGAGAAGATTTAAATGTACTTGACTCAAGCTAGAGGCTAAAGATATTGAGACTGTATTCTTAGGGTTTCTATTGAAAAAGTGATATTTTAAGTTTCTATCTCGCTTCATTTATCATTATGAATAAGACACTTAAAAAAGCAAATAGATGTTTATTAAATTGAGCTTTTAATTATCTAACGTATATCATCTTGGGATTTTTGATTGGATTTGAATTACTATTTCTTTTCTTGAAATCGTTGTATACATATCTTGAAAGAATGATAACTGATCTTTAGAATTATTAATGTAATGTGATGTGATATGGGAGGTAAAAAAAGTATATATTATAAATACAAGATTAATAGAATGGAAAAACTACTGTTATTGTTATCAGAGGCTGTTTATATGATTCACATCTTTGTAGAGGAGACAGACTCAATGAGTATCCTTTGTTGTTTATATTTTGCAAGAAAATCAATGTTGTACATTGAAATTGGTTTGTATTTGAATTCTTCAAGGTTCCCTTTATCATAGGTTCGATCAAGGTGTGAAATTTTCAGGAGGTCAAACTTATGAATAGCTTTGCAAGTGAATTCAGCTTGCCCGTGAGAGTTGAGAATTAAACTTTCAGTTTGACTGAAGCAGTACAATCTTCTCGCTCGTTACCTAAGGAAAAGCTGGCAACCAAGACAAAGGAGATGTTCCTAATTATATTCCAACATGAACATCAAATGAACACTTTTATGAGGTTTGTAAGTAGATTTCAGTATAAATGCACTTGATCTATAACCATCAAACATATATCGAAAACTGAACCACCAGAAGATATGGTTCAGAATCATCATTAGGGGGGTCGAAGGTGGCCAGAAAATGCTTCAAACGTTGGGTACTCTGGCCTTCCAGCCCTTCATTATTTTTGAAAAAGCATTTGTGGAAAAAATTTCTGAATGTGCTTCACGGTGTTTTTCATTTTTTTACAACATCAAGCAGAATTCATGTTGCAAAAGTTGTGTTTCAGGCATTTTTTCAACTTGAACCTCCCTATTTGTGTTTTGTGTTTCTAATAATTTTAATCATTATTCTCCATCTTTCTCTTCTTCTTATTCTAGTTTCTATCAGTGTATGTAATGACATAGTAATGGTCACAATTTTCAATTATGTCACCAATGATCAGAAAAACTTTACACATCAAGGTAAGAGCATGGTTCAGCCTGGTACTCTGTCACTACTTGGGTCCGTAGTAACTAAGCCTTTCACTAGCTGTAAACAGGAGAGGGGTGGTGGATATACCAGGATCCTTGTTCATAGACATAGTTATTTTTGGTGCTTTTTATGACAAATCTTAGCACTTACTACAGTTATTCAGCCAAGTTTGAAACATTATTTTTAGATATAATCTCCTAAAATATCAACAAATCAACAAATTGATCTTCTCAAACCTTGTGTCAAAATCTATATTTTTTCCATAAAACTTCCCTCTTTTCCCCATTTCCATATGGTGTTGTGTATCACAACTTTTGTTATTTTGAAATATCTTAGCACTTGCTACAGTTTTTCAGCCAAGTTTGAAACATTATTGTTAGATATAATTGCCTCAATTATCAACAAATCAACAAATCAATCTTCTCAAACCTTGTGTCAAAATCTATATTTTTTGCCATCACATTTCCCTCTTTTCCCAATTTTCATATGGTGTTGTGTATCACAACTTTTGTTATTTGTATCTTTTTAGTAGTGTTCCAAAATTAGCGGTTACAAATTGATAAACAATTAAATGATTCAAAAGGATTTTTAAAACTCCTATGTGTTATAGACTGCCTCATAGGTATTAAGTTAAGGTGTTTGATGATACCCAGTTATAGGAAAAGCTGCAGAAGGAGAAAAGATCATATATGAGTAATCCATACCTGGTATATCCATAGCAAAAAATGATCAGTGTGGTCATTGATTGCCCTGACTGCTGGTAAGTGATATATATTGGACAAATAAATTGGCTCGTGCTTATCATCTGCCCCTGAGAGCATCCCCACCAGTCCTGAACCGCAACCAGTCATACAGGGCAGTATTTCCGACGTGTGACACGTTGTATTTTCCCTTCAGGAAGGGCAACGGCCACCGGACACCCTGGACCAGACCGTAACCCTTCCTCCGCGTTCTTACGCACGCCATGTTAAACATAGCAGCACGTACGTTGACCTGATGGTGGCCTATCATCATTATACATATGATTCATTCCGAACGAGATGGAGCGAGGGAATAGATGCGTGCAAACTTAATGATGTTCTTGACCTTTTCTAGGCGAGAGGTGGAAATAAGATGTGAGCAAGCGGATGCAGTGAATAATGTTTGTGTGGCTTTATAACCTTTGGACAACAAACTCAAACTTACCCTCTCAATGCCTCTACTGTTTTTCCTCCCAGTCAATGCTCACATTTGGCTTCAAGATGAATAATTGACATATCATTGTGGAAGGTATTTATCGTATTACCACTGCCACAACAATGATAAAGTTATTTTAATAGAAAACAATGTATCGAATGGGGCAAAATTAGTTACACGGTTGCTCAAATCGTGTAACACAAGCTTTTGAGACGCCCCCGAAGAACCTGAGGGTCAAGACCGAGAGACCTGGTGCTGATGTCGAAAAAACTCGGACAGCTGCCCTACGGTGGGAGTTTATTTCACTGGTGGATCGTGAAATCTGAATTCTGACCTGGACATGTCAAATACACGTTACGTGAATTGACAGTCCAGGGTCGCTGGTGGCGATGCTCTGAGTACCTAACATAGCTACATGATTAAGATATCATCATTTTATATGTCATGTTCCATCAAACTATGTAGGACATCAAATAGCTCCTATAAAGGTCTGATTTGTAAAACCTCAATATCTTCATGCTCTTTTGGCTCCAAGAAGGTGTACAGTTTTTTTACCCCCTGGGAAAATGTTTTGGCTCCATTTTCCCATTTTTAAACCAAAGATTTCTTAAATTCTCATTATTTTGGCCAATTTGAATCCCAGTAGACCAAAAAACATCAAAAGCCATATATTTTGGCACATCTAACCTAACAAATCACAATCACTATTCCTGATAGGACAAACATACCTTCTTCAGGCCCAATGAGAACTTGCTGAAGTTTGTCCCAAAATGGGTTTGTTTTGCCTCAGATTCTTCAACAAAGATTTTTGTGAAAAATCACATTTTGCCTCTAGTGAGACAATGTGGCTTAATTAAAATGTTTAGTTCTCCTTTTGAGTTATTGCTCTTCATGATTTGTTCTGGGTCATTTCAAGTTCAACTGATGATTTCGAGTTCACTGCTTCTGTCGATGAGGCAATTGATCTAGAATGTCACAAGGTGGCCAGATGAATGAAACTGCATGTGAACATGTCACATGATGTGACATGTTCAAGTGTGATTTTGTTAATTTGTTTTGAAAAGAGTTCCTTGAATTGACGATCGAACCTCAATCCAAGAAATCGATTCGAACCCAACATGAGCCCTCATCCTTCAATAAAACTTTCATCAAATCTAATCCGTTCAACTTTACTTAAACCAAAACCAACTACAAACCAAACCAAACCTTTAAATCGTCAAAGTTCATCCTTCATACCTGGTAGAAGTTCATCATCAAGTCTTGAAGAGAAACATACAATCGTACCTAAACCCACTAGTCCTAATTGGTTCACTACTCATCCAGCTTTATCAGATTCATTATCAGAATTAGATTCACTTATCAAACGTAGTCGTGAAACATTATATGAATCAAGTGTATTAAAACGGTTTTCGGCTCCAGCTACATTTGCAGGAACAGGTGTTAGATTGAAATGGTTAAAATGGAGAATGGAAGAAGAAATAAAAAAATCTGTCACATCAAATGAAGAAGAAAATAAGATATACAAAACCTTATGGTCAAGTTCACCAAGCTGGCATGATTTTGATGTGATCAGTACGATCTTACAAGGAAATGAAGGTAGATCATTAAGAATGATTGAATATACCGTCACCTTAAATAAGTTAAATGAAATCAAATCATTAAAGAAATATTTATTATTTTTAGAATTTTCAAATTTATCTAACCGAACCCATGCATCTAAGATCCAATCATTAAATCAAGAAATCAATCAAGTTTTATTAAAGTTTATTAAACCTGATCGGATACGAAAGTCTATAAAGAATGAAGAATTCGGTCGAGATCGGTTAGGAAGATTTTATGGGATCGGAAAGAAAAAAGAAAGTACAGCTAGAGCTTGGATGATCGAAGTTCAAGTTCCAGATTCGATTCACTCGAAAAAAACATCAGAACCCACCCAAACTTCTGATCTCGAACCTGGAAATCGGATCTCTACCATCACTTCACCTTCTTTGATCCCTGAACCTGAACCAACTCAAGATCTTCAACAGGTACCTTTGGGTCAAGTCTTTTGTAATGGAAGATCGATTACCGAATACTTTCATACACCTAGACAACGTGCCACAGCTTTACGAGCATTAGAAATCACAGAGTGAGTCACTTCTTTTAACATTCATGATATTTGAAACCTTTGATATTTAAATCGATGATCTGAGTACTTCAAACGATCTTCTTGACTAGTTCTCTTGGACATTACAACATTCATCTTCTCGCACACGGAGGTGGTAAGATGGGACAAGCAGCAGCCGTTTCACACGCCTTGGCTAACGCATTGATGAATGCATTACAAGACTCGGCTAAAACCGATTCGACTGCACAAGAAAGACATGCTAGAAAAGTGTTGAGTAAGAGTCAGTTGACTCTTAGAGATCCTAGAGTAGTCGAACGAAAGAAGACTGGTAAACCTGGTGCTAAATCCTCTGTAAGTTGACTTCATTTTCTTATCGTCATCAAAACTCAGAAAACTCATGAGATCTTCTTTGGTGGTTTGTAGTACCGATGGGTTAAGCGTTAAGGTGGGTTAGGGTTGTGTATAGTAAACTAGGAAGTACTAAGGGTTGAAGGAAGTTGGTAAAAGATTGAAATGTATGACTTGCAAGTCAAGAGTTTGATTTCAAGTTACATATATGCAACTCAATATCGAATACATAGATCGAGTCAGGTTTTGAAAACCAAAGTTGTTCTAGACCACGATGCTTTTTTTGTTTGAACCCTAATCTTGAGGTTGGATAGGAAGAAAGAAAAGACAGACACAGATATGATTTTTTTCTGTTTTGGAGTGTGAATTGCCTTGACGAGATATAACCCTAGACATTGATATGGTTATGATTGTTTTTTTTTCAAAAATAAAAACCCCTACTTGGTACATTGACCCCTTTTACCTGACCCTTTGTGTGATGGGGAACCTTGTATCCTAGATACTGGTCTGGTCTTGAACACTTGAACCTGTTCTGGTCTGGTCTTTAATAATAATGTCTTTCTAGAAAAAGGGAAATGATAATAAATATTTCGATAAAGAAAAAGCTCTACAACAGAAAAGATAAGAGAGTATATAAAGGAAAAATCGACAACAATCAGGAACAAACTAAAGCTCATATAAGCTTCAGGAACAAACAGAATTTAAGATAACATAATCAGATACGAGAGAAATAAGGAACAGAAGAAAGAAAAAGGTAACCAGAACAACGTCTAGCCATACAGAAGAATCTTGAAACAAACTAATAATAATTCTAACCCTAACCGCACTCGTCTATGACAAAATATGATCTGCCTTGTACCAAAATGCTAAAATATCTTAGAACGCGCTACCCAAACATCCTCAGCAGGTCCCAATCCAACCCACGGCGATAACTCATGAAACCTCTTCAACCATATATCCAAGGCCGTCGAAAGTTGAGTCAAAGGAGTCCAAGTATCATCCAACCCCGAAGAATCACCACCCCTAATCAAATATTCGTGAATTCCCTCCTTAGTCAGCCGATAATCAATAATAAAAGCCGCCACCCCTTCATCCTGATTATCTAGTAACAAACTACCAAAAACATCCGGAACCTGGAACTGGTCACCAAAAAACGGAGACAAAAGAGAGACATTGAAAACAGGGTGCAAACGTTTCAAGGAAGCAGGTAGGAGCAACTCAGCTGCATTTTTACCGACCATACGCTTAACTTGAAAGGGCCCAATACGCCGAACATCCAACTTGTTTGATGGTCTCAAGGTGCGTAAATGCTTCCTCGATAGCCAAACCAGATCCCCCGGAGAATAAGTTGCCACCAAACGACGTGAACCGTTGTAGAACTTTGCCTGCGCCGCCTTTGCCCGTTCCAAATTCGCCTTGAGAGAAAAGTGTATAGCCTGCATGCGTTCCACAAAACAATCAGCGCGAGGAACACCGGAAGTAGCAACCAAAGAATTGAAACGCGGATGACAACCCGTGTATGCAAAAAATGGTGAAAAACCAGTCGACGCAGAAGGCGAGTTGTTATAAGCAAACTCCGCAATAGGCAACCATTTCACCCAGTCAGATTGATCTTCGGCGACAAAATGTCGTAAGAAATCTTCTACCAAAGCGTTGACCCGTTCCACCTGCCCATCCGTCTGAGGATGAAAGGCAGTCGAAGGCGCTGGCGAAACATTCAACAACTGTAAAACGGACGTCCAGAACCGAGAGACAAAAGTAGTACCCCGATCAGACACTATCACATCTGGCAAACCATGGTGGCGAAAAACCTGTGCAACAAAAGCAGAAGCAAGTTCCTCAGCATTCCAAGATTCTTTCGCTGCAATAAAATGCGCCCCTTTCCCCATGTGGTCAACCACTACCATGATCGAGTCATAACCGTTCGATAAAGGTAACTTTACAATAAAATCTACCCCTATTGTCGACCAAGGTCGTTCCGGTACAGGTAAAGGCACCAATTCGCCTTGAGGTGGCCGACGATCGACTTTAACTTTTTGACAACTGACACAATGCCGCAAAAAGATCAGTAAATCATCGCGAACATGCGGCCAACTAAAAGTTCTAGTCAAGAGATCCAAGGTCTTCATACTCCCCCAGTGACCAGCCGATGGCGACTCATGCATTTGCTGCATAACCATACGTCTAGCCTCCAATGGTACATAAATCCGATCACGCCACCACCACAGACCATTCTGGTAAGTGAGTGGACGTGGTCGAAGTCCTTGAATCAGCGAATCCGTAGCATACAACCCTTGGAACCAAAGTTGCATATCCACTGATGCCGGTAAGAAATGCGAAGGATCCAACCGTCCGAAAATCTGATCCTTCCGTAAAGAAACAGCCTGGATCCTAACAGTCTCCAATTCCCGTACCCCTAAAAGAACCACTTTAGTTGAAGAAGTTTTTCCGTCTGTCAGATCAGAACGGCGAGACGCGGGATCAGCGGGATTCAAACGACCAGGTGTATGCAAAATTTCAAAATCGAACTGCCCAAGAAAAGTAGCCCATCTTGCCTGCCGCGGAGTAAGATCTTGCGCCGTCATGAAATACCGGAGATTTGCATGATCCGATAGAACCGCAACTGGCTCAGTAGAACCCAACAGCCAAGCTCGCCATTCTTGAAAACAGGCAATAATTGCCCCTAGCTCCTGGTCATGTACCTGCCAGTTGCGTTCGGATGGAGTCAATTTCTTAGAATAATAAGCCACCGGTTTCAATTGACCCGATTCCGAGTACTGTGACAAAATTCCAGAAGAAGCAAACCCAGAAGAATCAACTTGCAAAACACGTTTCTTACTGAAGTCAAAATGTAACAAAAAGGGTGACTCAGCAAAAAGACGTCTCAGCAAATCAAAAGTGTCTTTGACCGAGATGTTCCGTAGACCGTTCTTAACATCAGCCGTTGCTACCGTAAGATCAGTAAGTGGCGCTACTATCTGCGAAAAAGCCGGTATAAAACGCCGATAAAAATTTGAAAAGCCCAAAAATCGCCGCAAATCAGCAAGATCTCGAGGGTAAGGCCATTCAGCCAAAGTGTTCAACTTCTTTGGATCCATCCTCAAACCCTGAGTCGAGATGACAAAACCTAAAAACACCACTTCCGTCACAAAAAATTCGCACTTAGCAGGGGAAGCAGTTAAATGGTGCTCTGATAACTTAGCTAATATTTGTTCAATATGCAATGCATGCTCCTCTTCTGTCTTCGAAAAAATCAAGATATCATCTATAAAAACAAAACATGAGACATCCAGATATTCTCGTAAAACCCACTGGATAAAACGCTGAAATGTTGCAGGTGCATTAGCTAATCCGAAAGGCATCACAGTAAATTCAAAAAGACCCCAAGGAGTACGAAAGGCGGTTTTCCACTCGTCACCTTTTTTAATCCGGATCAGATTAAAAGCCGATTTCAAATCAATCTTTGAAAATACCTTACAACCCTTCAACTGATTCAAAAGCCAAGACATTACTGGAATGGGATAGCTGTCACGCTTAGTGATCTTGTTTAGACCTCGGTAATCAACACACGGTCTGTTTTTCTTACCAGGTACCTTCACAAAGAATATAGGCGCAGCAGCCGATGAAGAAGAAGGTCGAATAAAACCCTTACTCAACATCTCATCCAGGTAAGCTCTCAACTCAAGCTGCTCAGATTGAGCCAAATTGTAGAGTCCGCCAAATGGAGGATCACAATCGGGTTTTAAATCAATTGCGCAATCAAACGATCTGTGGGGAGGAAGTACAAATTCCTGCGGAAAAAAGACATGTGAGTATTTCAAACAAGTTTTTGGAAGTTTAACAGGAAGGGACTTGTCAAGAGAAATGGGAGGAAGAATCGAAGTGTTGGTGTCGACGAAGTTATTAGACGTAGGATTTGAGATAGTTGCGATATTCATAGGAAAGATGTCTGTAGCTGTGGTGGAAGAATCAAGGAGAGAAATAGTTGCGATAGATTCTGACTTACAAGAATCTACAGATAACAAAGAATCGGTCATCATTGCAACTACCACACCCTCTATAGCAAGATAAACACCATCTTTATGACACACCGCCGAAGCTCCCACACTCTTCATCCAAGGCAAGCCTAAAATAACATCTTGACCCTGAATCATCGTAACTCCTAATCTCGCCAACAAAGAAACTGGCGATAATGAACTTGAAGTTGCCGTAAGAGTACCAATCCATTCTTTATCAATTACACCACTTGACCCGGCTGATCCATCAAATCCAAAACAACGCATAGGTGATCTTGAAGAAGTCGAAATTTTGTGTTTGTTCACCAAATCTTGACTTATCAAATCAGCCATCGCACCTGTGTCAATCAAAGCCATTACAACAACTGGGGATCCTTCATTCGACAGGGTAAAGGGTACAATGAATTTTCCATTAGCAGCCTGGCAAGTATCAATTCTGATCGAACTGATATCAAAATTCACCTCTGATTGTTGAACTTCTTCGGGATAGATCATTTCATTCATAGCCGAAAAATAATCAGCCATAAAATCATTGACTTGCAGAAAATCTTCCTCGGATGAGTGAACAAAGGCGACTGAATTGACATTGAACTCCTCATTTTGATTGATAACGGATTCTTCAACTTGATTGATTCTGACTTGCGATACTGGTTTGATGTTGAGGAACTGTAATTTCTCTTGAAGCGTCTTGTTTTGATTTGGGCAAATTCCTTTTGCGTGAGTTCCTTGGAGATCATAAGTTTTCAAACATTTAGCACAAATCTTACGTTCTCGACAAGCATCCATAATTTGATAAAAGACTGATGGTTTCTTCTTAGATGAATTTAAATTAATTGAATCAATTTCCATGGGAACAGCTTGATCCGGACGATGCACTTGAACTTGAGTAGGACGAAACTGGTGAATATGTTGCGCATCCGGATTATGAACCTTCTTGATATAAGACGAATGACTAGGTGGTAGTTCTGACAACTCCTGAACGATCTCAGAAGCTTGAACCGCCAATAACATCTTCTCTTGCAAACTCTTACTACCAATCCAGCCTTGTAAACGAACAGCTTCAGCGTAAATGTCGGGATCGAGACCTTTAACATACTTCAAGATTGCATCTTCCGGCGAAATACTGACATGAATAACTAACGATCTGAATCTTGAATTATAATCTACAATAGTGTTTGCACCTTGCCTACAATTGTCGAGATTCTTCCGATTCGTTCTGTCTTCATTCTTGTCAGCAAACGTCTTCCTTAATTCTTGTAAAAACAAAGGAAAAGATTGCAAAGGTAACAACTTATACTCTAAAGCCTTCAGATCATCAAATCCATCAAAACTACCAGAACCTGCCGCATTCTGCTCTAATAAAGAATTAAACCAGAAACTTGCTGTCGAACGTGGTTCAAAAAGAGTCGAAATCCAATTAATCTTATACTTGTCATCTTTAGTTGCAAAAAATGACTCATTATCTCGAATTTCTTGATAAAAATCTTGAAAAAAAGATTTCAAATGCAAAGCCGTTCCACTAAAACGTATGTTGTTTCTGAAACGCGGAGCTTGCACAGTCGAATTCACGTTTGAGAAAGCACTAGGAGGTTGAAAAGGAGGTCTTTGAGAAGGATGTGGAGGGTGATTAGCATACTGAGGACCTGGAGTATGTTGTCTAGGTTCATATTGAGGCTGTGTTTGAAAAACCGGAGGAGGTTGTTGATGAACAAAGTGAGAATTATTTGGAGGAAACTGATTAAATTGATGAAAAGAATTTTCCTGCGCAAAGGGAGCTTGTTGAGGAAATTGTTGATTAAAAGTTTGAAATTGAGGATGATTGAAATTAAACGGAGGAACATTAAATTGAGGACGAGGAAAAGAAGAATTATCATGTGTAACATGAATGTTAGGCGGAGGTCGAGCTGATTGATGTGGTGGTAAATCCCGTTGCAGATTTATACCGTTAATGCCATAAGCTAAATCTTCTACCGAAGGTTGTTGTGGCACATTTTGATTAATTCGCTCGTTTTGATCTCTCAACGCCTGCATTTGTGCATTCGATAATTGAAGTTGAAGTTGATGAACTTGGTCTTGTAACGCTTGAACTTCGGGGCTTGGATCCGGAGGACTTGGATCAGGTCGAACGCTTTGCATGTCAAATAACGAAGATATATCCGAAGCACCAGTTCTTGGATTCCAAGGGTCCATCTTCAAACGTGTTCAAAAAAATTCAGAATGTATCGAAGTATCTGGAGAGAATTCTTCCTCACGATTTCGAAAAAAATGAAAAGCTTCAATATACTCAATCAAAAAGTAATGATTCCGACTTTCTTCAATAATTACTTGATTTCTACTATTAAAAGGATCTTCTTCAGGAAATTCAAAATACGGTAATTCCTTGAGAGTTTCTAATAGTTCTTCAGGTGATATCGAAATAGGATGGAAATATAAAAATTGATAAGCTTGAGTAAAATCTATTCTAATCATAAACTTTAAAGAAATTATAAGGAAAAAAAATTTATTTTGAAGATCGAAATATAAATTGTGATGGGGAACCTTGTATCCTAGATACTGGTCTGGTCTTGAACACTTGAACCTGTTCTGGTCTGGTCTTTAATAATAATGTCTTTCTAGAAAAAGGGAAATGATAATAAATATTTCGATAAAGAAAAAGCTCTACAACAGAAAAGATAAGAGAGTATATAAAGGAAAAATCGACAACAATCAGGAACAAACTAAAGCTCATATAAGCTTCAGGAACAAACAGAATTTAAGATAACATAATCAGATACGAGAGAAATAAGGAACAGAAGAAAGAAAAAGGTAACCAGAACAACGTCTAGCCATACAGAAGAATCTTGAAACAAACTAATAATAATTCTAACCCTAACCGCACTCGTCTATGACACTTTGACTCGGCTTGTTGGCTATTTGAAATTGTTGACTCCTAATAAAGGGTTGAAATTGTGATGGAAGCGAAGTGAATTTGAATTTAAAGTGACACCAAAAAGGAAAGGGTCTGATTGGTTGGTTGGTGTGTATGTAAGTTGTATGGTTACAAGTGGTGACTGAGTGAATCTTCACAGCAAACCAAGTTCCAACTTCCAACCCAAAAAGCAAATTGTTATTTTCAAATTGCAATTCCACTCTCGATTGAATCTCAACTACATACATATATAGCATCAACTTATCGGAAAACACTCAAATCAACCAAACATATCGTAACAAAACATCAAATCGAATCGAATAGCAAACATTCTTTCCCAAATGAACGGACCTTGGTTATCACTCTTACCGGTCACTGATCCAAAACCATTCAAACCATCGACCATCAACCCTTCAAGTTCATGTGATCATTCAAATCAAATCAAATTCAAATCAAACAAACGACCAGCACTACATACTCATAACCATCATCCTACTTCAAATTCGATCCTAAAACCTATGATTTTAGAAACCAGACCTAAATTGAAGAAAACGGTTCATACTCATATCTTATCAAATCATACGAATTCGAATCTAATCAATCATAGTTTTGATTCTTCTTTCAAATTGAAATCTTCTAATTTACTTTTGAATTCGAGATCGGTTCAAGATGATCATGAACCATTTGAGATTAGGAATTTAAAAGTGGCCGATTTAGAAAAAGTCAAAGAATTACATGTAAGTCGTCATTTGATTGTTTTCTTTAAAATCTCAAATTGAACCAAAAAAAATTAACGATTAAACTGAAATCTTGATTTTCTTGTTGTCCAATAGCATTCAACTTTACCCATCACTTATCCTACTTCATTTTTTTGTAATTTATTAATGAAACAAGAAAATGATATTGCATTAGTAGCTACTTTACCATCAAGTTTACCAGCAGGTTATTTTGATTTAAAAGTACAAGAATCGAATTCGAATCAGATCATCAAACCTGATTTACTTCATACAAACCATCATCATCATCATCTTTTACATCATGTGACATCACCTTTGTCAGGTAAAAAACCGATTTCATTAGATATCATTGGATCTATTACATCGACTTTTAAACCAGAGACGAAGGAGATTCGGATTTTAACTTTATGTGTTGATCATCAGTATCGTAGACATGGATTAGGTCAAATGTTAATCAAAGAATTGATCATCAAAACACGTCAATCGACTTGTCAATCAAACCGAGTCTCTTTACATGTCCAAGCCACTAATTCGATCGCCCTGAAGTTTTACTTGAGATTAGGCTTCAAGAAGATGATCTTTAAAGAATCATATTATTCTAATCAAGCTTTAAAACCTTTGAATCATTCTAGATCTACTACTTCTTCTTCTACTTGTACTTCTTCTACTTCCACTTCTTCACCCGCTTCAGTTTCGGCTTCTACTTCCACTTGCACTTCTGATGATGGGTTAGATGATGATTCAAATTCGAAGATCATGGTTAAAGATATAGACGCTTGGTTCTTGGTTTTAGATTTATCGACTTCTTAAACTTGAATCCATAACAGATCTTGTAAACGAACCAATTCAATTAATCCATTGGTTTTCTTGAAGTTTATCCAACATACACATACATAAATACATACATATCCTTAGGTTCTTTGTTTTACATTCATTTCAATTGACTCTTTTGAAATTCATTTTTTTCATCATCTCTTAAAGTTTTAATTCAGTGTTTTTCCTTCTTTGTTCTTAGATTTTCCTTTTCCTTTTAATTCCTCTATATGACTTTTTGTATGAACTCTCATCTTTTTAATACTTTTTTGTTTGATTCTAACACATTTTAGTTACTTTTTTTTGTCATCTTATTATCCCTCATGGTTTTCTTTTGGTTGTGTATATGTAATGGATAGTGTGTTTCTTTTGAAGAAAAATAAAAAACCTAAAAAACTCAAATAATTAAACGAGTCAAATGGATGAATCATAAGAAGACTGATTTACTTCTTGTACAAATATTTATAGTTTGTTCATGAAAAAGGTTTTCAAGAATTGCTTGTTGGGAAAGATGAAGAATTTTAAAGGTCATGATCAGGTTTTACTGTGATCAGAAATCAAACGTTTGAACTGAGTTTGTTCATCATCAAATCATTCTAACCCGATTTACACATATGTGATGAGGTGAGGCGCAAGTTTTCTTCAAGAATACATTGGATTACTATTTGATTGACACGAATTGAAACTGAGATGTTATATTTGATGATGAGTGCTTCACAGATCAGAGCTCAAACTTGAATCTCAGTTCGTTGAATTTGAGCAGACGGATAGGGTGAGCTCAAATGTTATCTTCTTGACTTGAATGCTATCTTGGTTGAATCAAATTAAAAAGCTGAACAGAAACTCAATCAAACCAACATCTCATTCAGTTTACCAATACCAATGAGACCTAATCTCAAACCTTCACATTCTAGTTTACCATTCATAACACAATTCGATTTGATCAGCTTATCAATCTGATCTATAGTACAAAGAACAACATCATTCACTCTGATTTACCATTCAAAAACCAAACCAAATCATTCTACTTGACCCCTTTCATACAAATTCATTAAAGCTTTCTTCATTATGAGTTTTTTGTTTTGTTTTGAAAGATGTTTGGATTGAATTTGATGATTTCATGGTTTATAAAGTTTCATCATCACGATTGACTCAATCACATGTTCAGAATCAATATGATCTAAAACATTTTCAATCTCATTACTAAAGAAACCCAAACCATCAGAAGATCAGCAAACCAAAAAAACCAAGTATCAAGAAACCAGACGATCAATGAGGCAAAAGAAGAATCAAAGCATCACATACCTATGTAAACCTTTAACTTTATGCATTTCAATCGAATTATAATTAGCCAAACCTCTTCCAACTTCCAAAAAATCCACCCCAAGTTGTTCTTCCTTGCCCACGAATTCCTTAAGCCGATCAGATTGCAAAGGATCCTTAACGATCTCTTTCTCGTTCGATTTCAAATGGTTTGTAAACTCTCTAGGAATCAAGATCTTCACAGCTTGACCGACCGAAAAGTTTCCCAAGACTTGATGTAATCCGACCGGTAAGAGTCTTCCACCATTGGATTGACGACTAAGAGCTTTAAAGGCTCCTTCGTCTATGACCACTGATCCTTTAGGTGCTAATCCATAAGCTACCCAAAACTTTCGATCAGTTAAAGGACTTCTGACCGGTAAGAAGACAGTATAGATCGGTTCATCATTCGAGTATGGTTTGGTAAGTTCGTTGGGAGAAGTTAAGATGGCAGGTGATTGAAGTGGGATCCCATCCGAATCAAACCAACTTGATTGATTAGATTGTAAATTCGAAATGATCTGGGGTATCATTTCTGGTTTTAACGAATTACAGATGATCGTAGACACTCCGGCTAGAGTGGCTAATTCGGCTGCAATCAATTTGGTTTCCATTCCACCTGTTCCTAAAGAAGAACCAAGTGTAGTAGTTGAAACTAACCCCCACAAAGAAAAAAAGTCCTCCAATTCGAAATCAGTTGATTGATGAATGATTTGGAATTTGTTGACTCACCTAATTGTCTTACACCTTCAATATCATGTACGACTCTAACGATTTGAGCCTGAGGATTGTTTCTTGGATTTTCAGTAAACAAACAATCTACATCAGTCATTAAAAACAAATAATCGGCTTTACACATTCCAGCTGTCACAGCTGAAAGAGTATCGTTATCACCAAATTTGATTTCAGTGATCGAAAGTGTATCGTTTTCGTTGATGATCGGTATCACTCCATTGTTTAGTAAAGTCGTGATTGTTGAAGTCGCATTCAAATATCTTGATCTCTAAAAACCCATGATCAAGTGTGATAGGTTAGTTTTTTTTGTCTGTGGAGTGTGATGTTGTTGTTGTTTGACGTACATCTGCTAAATCACTTCTGGTTAATAAAATTTGTGCAATCGGTTGATTTAGTTTACTGAATAGACTATCCCAAAGTCCAATCAAATGACCTTGACCAATAGCAGCTAAAGCCTAAAACCAACCACCCAAAAAAAAGAACCAACCCATCTGTAAATTAGAATACCCTCATCACAGGATAAAAAAGAAAAATCAAATATAAAATCTTAACTTGTTTTTCATTTAAAGCTTTAGGTTTTTTTGACCATTTTTCTTTTTCTTTTTGATTTGGATTTGATTCAAGATGATTTAAAGATTTCATTCTTCTCATTCCCATACCAATAGCACCAGAAGAAACCAGTATGATCTTATGACCCAAACATCTTAATGTATTACAAACTTCTACTAAGTTTGATAATAATCCTAATCTTAATTTTAAGTTGGTTTCTGATAAGATTGATGATGTACCTATTTAATTTTTTTTTGTTTTGAAGAATTAATTGGGTTCTATATAAGATTTTTGATTGTTTTTTCTTTGAGTGATCGTATCGGTTTTTTTTTGATGAGATAAGTTCGGTTTGACTTACCTAGTTTGATGACTATTGTTAAATGAGTTGAGCTTGTGGTTGATGGGTTGTTGGGATTTGGAGTGGTTGGATTTGATGAAGGTTTTGATTTCATTTTGGTTTTCTTGTTGAAGTTGATGAATATCTTGAACTTGCTTGACTTTGGACGTTGAAATCAATATGTAATTGGTCACTTCTCTCGACAGGGTGATTTCAAATAACAGAATTGTGATTATAAAAACTTGGTTTTGAAAACATCGTTTCTTGAGTTTATAAACTGCATTTCTGAAGTTCATTCATCAAATCAAATCAAATCATCAAATCACCTTCAGTTTATGCTTCTATCAATAAACCTCAGCACGTGAAATAACACCGCCTCATCTCTTATCTTTTCAAAACATGCTTACAATTGGTTTGGGTAATCAATCACATTCTCTTTGAGGACAAGAAGCAAATGATAGAAAAGTAAACAACAAAATCCTAACTCCTTTTTGTGAATAGGTAAAGTGTATCTTATTGCCAAGAAAATGAAAAGAGTTTATGTTTGCATTCGAGTTAACATCTCAAGTGGATGAAGACGTGAATGTGATCAAACAACCAATCAATTCAAAGTGTTTCAAAGTGATATGGGCGTACATAATTGAGAATCAGATCAACACTTCATGATGAGGTAAATGCGCGATGAACACACAAGAGTCAAGACCCCTGATACATAACCTCCTTTGTTGGTAAAATATCATTGCCTCATCCTGTTCACCATCAGTTTGACTCCGATAAGTTTTTCTACATAATAGAAATATATGTTGTATAGAAGGTCTCAGAGAGATATCCGATTTCAGTCCGATTTCAACATAGCTTAACAACTCACGCGATCGAGAGCTTGGAAAATGGATATTGGTAGTTGAAATGACGTGAAAAAAAGGTAGGGTTATTGCACCTTCGATAATATAGGTGTGGTATGATATATATAATGTTAGATCAGACGTGATCGAATTTGATGAATAAAATCGATAAACTTAAAAACAGTTGAAGTAAGGTAAAGAGAAGTAAAGAGAGCGAGGATGAGTGAGTGAAGAGAATTAAAAGGAATGACGTCATCAAATTGAATTTATAAAGTGATCAAATCTATAATGCTCAACTCCTCTTGACTCGTCTCGTACCACTGCTTACCAAGTACACATCACCAATCCATCAGTCTTTTTTGACCAAACTCACTTCAACCATCTTAAAAACCAATCTTGTTCTTTTACTATTTTTATATAAAACACTGAAAACCTTTCATCCTTCTTCTTACTTTTCATCCCTTTCTCATCTTTTTATCAATTCTAAATTCAACTTCAATCGATCCAAGATGGCTCACTTACTTCATTCTCATACTAACTCTCCTCTCACCCGTACTGGTACTCCCATGCATCTCTTTGAGGAACCGGGTAGTCATGTCTCTCAGTTTAGTTGTTCTCTTTTGGTGAAGAGGTTCATGATTTCATTTGACTGATATCATTGTTCTTCATTCAAAGTGCTGGTCAACCTCATTATCATCTAGTGGGAAAAGATCTTAAAATGTTCTCAGAGGCTGGATTTGATATGGATAAGATTGTGAGCATGGGTTTCATCTTCTTCACGGTTCTGATGACCAAAAAAACTAATGAGGTTTGGTTTGATGTTTCGTTTTAGCATATCAAACGAAACGCACCCATTGCACAATTATATGAAGAAGCTATCAGAAACGAAGGAGCGATTATCTCAGCTTCAGGTGCTTTGATCAATTTCTCGGGAAAGAAAACCGGTAGATCTCCAAAAGATAAACGGATCGTTTATGAAGAAACTTCGAAAGATCACGTTTGGTGGGGTAGTGTTAATATTAAGATGGATGAACATACTTTTGAAATCAATCGAGAACGGGCTATTGATTATCTCAACACTCGTGATAATGTTTATGTTTTTGATGGATTTGCTGGTGTATGTATCTTTCCGTTTGATCCCCCACTTTCCAGTTGGCTAATCTCTTTCGATCACCTAAATCTTTGCCTTGATTCTTGATCCTCAAGTGGGATCCAAAATATCGGATCAAAGTTCGAGTGATCTGTGCTCGTGCCTATCATGCACTTTTCATGACCAACAGTAAGTAGATTTTCTTCACTCGCGTGCAAAAAAGTCACTAAAGCTTAAGTCTCGTTTGGATCTCTTTCTTAGTGCTCATCAGACCTACTGAAAAGGATTTGGAAGATTTTGGAGAGCCTGATTTTACCATTTATAATGCTGGTCAATTTCCAGCCAATCGATTTACTAGTGGTATGACATCTGCCACTTCGGTTGAAATCAACTTCAAACGTCGTGAAATGGTCATTCTTGGTACCGAATATGCCGGTGAGATGAAGAAGGGTATCTTTTCCGTCATGGTAATCTTCTATACCCTTTGCCTTTAAAAACATCTTCACATAAGAGTACTGAGATATGTCGTCTTTGTCAAGCACTATCTCCAACCGGTCAAGTTTGGCCAATTGTCATTGCATTCATCGGCGAATGAAGGGCCTGATGGGGATGTATCACTCTTCTTTGGACTTTCGGGTACTGGAAAGACTACTTTATCGGCTGATCCAGCTCGTATGTTAATCGGTGATGACGAACATGTCTGGTCTGATAACGTAGGCTGATAGAGATCCTTTGAAATGATTGATCCTGACTTGCTAATGAATCCACTTATTCTCGCAGGGCGTGTTCAATATTGAAGGAGGATGTTATGCTAAATGTATTGGCTTGAGTGCCGCCAAAGAACCTGATATTTATCGAGCTATTCGATTCGGGGCAATCCTTGAGAATGTAGTCTACGATGGTGATTCGCGAGAACCGTGTTATGATGATGCTAGCATAACCGAGAACACTCGTTGTGCTTACCCTATAGAGGTAGGAGATCCGGTTTTGAAATGTTCCTGTTCAGATGGGAGAAACCGACAATACGTGTGAATGCTCTTCAGTTCATTCCAAATGCAAAGATTCCTTGCTTATCGACTTCTCAACCGTCGAACGTGGTGTATCTGACCTGTGACGCTTACGGTATCCTACCACCGGTATCAAAACTTACTCGAGAACAAGCTCAATATTGGTTCTTGATGGGCTACACCTCAAAAACCCCTGGTACAGAGGACGGCGTCACTGAGTGAATTGACTGATTACTTGATCATTTTGCTTGTGAAATCTAGCATGATTTTAATTTACGACTTTTGGGTATTCACTTTTTAGGCCTACTCCCACGTTTTCCACTTGTTTCGGACAACCCTTCATCGTCCTACACCCTTCCAAGTATGCGACCATGCTGGCCGAAAGAATGGACAAGGTCCAAGCCAATTGTTGGTTGATCAATACCGGCTGGGTCAGAATTTTTCTTACTATTCATTTCAACCTATTCTCTTGACTTCTCACTAACAGTGAAATGTGTTGCATTGATAGGTGGGCGGCAAATTCGGAACTGGCGCCAGATGTTCATTGAAGTACACTCGCAAATTGATAGATGCGATACACGATGGATCACTAGCTAAAGCTGAATATGAAAACTTTGATGTTTTCAATTTGGCGATTCCTAAAACCTTACCAGACGTACCAGATACGGTTTTGAATCCTATGAAAGCCTGGAAGAACACTAGCGCTTTTGAGAATGATCGCAAGAAGCTTGCTGGATTGTTTAGAGATGCCTTTAAGAAGTATGAGAAGGAGGTTTCAGCAGAGGTGAAGGCTGCTGGTCCTAAGGTTTAAGAAGATCATGTGAAAGGATGATCAATGTGTCAAGGTAAGGAAATTTTGTTTAAAAGCTCTTATGTGTTGTGATTGTATTGTGGTAGCATTAGATTGTATCTCTCAAACTCTTTTTTTGTTTTAAATGTATGGTATCTTTTTATCTCAAGTCACAACTTTGTGATCCAAGCACCTTTGAATTGATAGTTGACAAGTTACAACCAATTCTTCTGTTTTTCACAGCTTGTGATTTCAATCATACACAGAGTGTCTGTATCCTTGTAGCCCATCAAGGTGCACACACAAAGGACTTTTTTGACCCTCAAAAGATCCTTTGAAGAGGTTCCATAATGGGCAAATCTTCCCCTTATCAACTGGATGCTGGTACTAGGTTGACCCCAGCTGCTGAGGTTCCACAAAACTGTAAATCATTTCACAAAGGGTGCTCAACAATAATCTCAGTCTGGATGCTACCAAAAGACCAAGGCCAAATTCACTTAAGTGATTTCTGGTGAGAAGTCACATTCTGCAAAATTTAAAATGTCTATTTGGTGGTGCATGTTTCATTTTTGTGTTAAAAAATTTACAGAATGTGATTTTTGGTCAGAAGTCCCTTAAGAGCGTGTTCACTTAAGCTCTTTTTTGTGTGAAATTGCTTTCTTGAATGTCAAGAAATGTGATTTCTCAGAATGTGTTTGATTTTTTAAATACAAGCATTTTAAAATTCAGAAAATGCTTATAAAAAGTGATTTTCTGGAACATTCCAAGAATTTGCTATTAGCGCATTTTTCCCCTTGAAAATCACATTTATGTGATTTCCTCTTTAACTTACCATTTGTCCAAATTTGGACAAGTCCCTGTCTAACGTACGGATTGTCAACTCTACCCTTCCCTAATCTTCGCTTGGCTTCCCTATTATTCCCTATTCTTCCCAAATCTTCCCTAATCTTTGCTCACTCAACTCACTTGACTCAACCACTCAATAGGGGTTGGGCGATATTTCAACCAACCAGTTTTGCGCCTCTGAGAAGCCTAGCAAAAGCAGTCGAAGATGGTGGAGAGCAAGTTTTATGGGTTTCACACATCTGTTACGGATCTGAGCTCAGAGCCAAGAGTGTTTAGGCAATACCCAGGCAACCTTTTGCCTGAAGAGGAGGGTTGGGGATCAGTGAAAGGTGCAAAAGGCGTGTTTGCATGGCTTGTACTTACAAGCCCAGCAGCACAAATCAATTTTCCCTGTAAGACTTTTGAACAGGTGAAGGTTTGGACTTCTGAAGAAGCACTTTGTACCGGTCTGTATTTTTGCCAAGCAAAAAGACGGATCAAAAGGTTGGTTAGTTATGAGTGGCTTTGGTATTGCTTTTGAGCGATCTCAAAAGCATTCCTAAATCTTTGAACTGCAATTGAATTGCTTTTGGAAACCGGTTGGTCAAAATTTTGCCCAACCCCTAATATGCCAAAATCAGATGGCAGCAGCGACAAAGTCAAAGTAGTCCCACCAAACTTGAACTCAAAATCAAAGCCGAAATCAATGAGTTTGAGAATGAGATGTAGAATCAGAGAAAGTTGAGAACAATTGAGATGACCAAGTCTGGCTCGCAGCGCTTTGCAGCGCTGCTAGACGTTATTTCAGAAGCGCAGCTTGGAATCTCCGTGACCAAGCTAGGTAGCTTGAGCCGCAGCGGCTTTTTTTTTCTCACACAACTTAGTAACTAAAAGCAAAGTCTTTTTTCGCAACACCTTGCAGCGTTTCAGGCAAAAAAAAACTTTTTTTTAATTTAATTTTGAGCAAGGTAAAGGAAACAAAAAAGATTGAAACATGGTATTCTTATGGTAAGGACTGTTGAGAAACAAAAATTCAACATCGTTTGATGTAACGACTGTGACAAAAAAAAACATAAAGAAGAATCAAATAAAAAGAGATTAAAAAAAGAGAGACCAATCTAAAAATTACTCTCCCTAGTTTTTTTTACAATTGACTTCTTGCCATACTCTAGTACCTTCCCTACTTTGCCAAAGTCGCCGGTTAAGGGAATTCCTTCAAGGGTCCAAATCTGACTGCTGACTAACATTTCTATCACGCGAGGAACCAATCCTCCTTGCTCTGCTGTGCAGACTCGTCCAGCCACGGAAAAGCATCGTTCGGGAGCAGCAGATGCAGCCGGCGTTGCTAGATAATCCCAAGCCAAAATAGATAAAACCGGGTATTTACACCCATGAGTCTTTAGAAGATTGTATATTAGTAAGACATACAACAAATGAGTAAATAAAAAGGATGAATTACTCACTCTCCACCAGTCTAGTGCATGTTCTGGGTTGTTTGCATCAGGCGATAACATCAGATCTACACCTTGAATATATTGTTCAAGCTCATTGATATTGCTTGATGTTGCAACCGCATTGTATAAGTTCAAGAAGTCCGCTCCAAATCCTTTGTCAGGTGATTTGTTTGAGACTGTGGTGACTGGTTGATTCCGAAGGTCAGTTGCCTTGCTTTCATGTGTAAAAACAGATTCTAAAAGTTCCATTGCTCAATCATGACTGGCCGAGTCTTCCCCAAAAGCGCGGGCGAAGAAATGGACTCGTAGACTTGGGTGGAAAATGCTGGCTAGAACGAGTGTGTCGCAATCAAGGGCTTCGTTGAGATACATGGTGATTTTACTTATCATTATATCAACCATTGGGAACAGTGGATTGTTCTCGTGCATTTTTTTGAGTCGCTCTTCCATTGATGCCTTGAGTTGTACATATTTAACTAACACCATACACCCTGTGGGCTTATCACCCTCCATCTCTCGAGTTAAAATTTTGTAGGGCTGTAGAGTGGGATTCAAGTAATCAGAAAAGAGAATGGATCCAATTCAAATTAAAAGTTGAACTACTTACAGTGAGAATATCAAGCATGTCACACATTGCTTGCCAATCTTCAACTGAGAATACAAGCTCTTCAAAATACCCGTACTTCTTACCATCTTTCTGCGGACGTCGTTTTTTTGAGTGTACCTCAGCTAGATCGTCTTTCATGACTCAATCGATTAGCTGAAAGGGGAAATGACATAAATTGATAAATTGATGGGAGTTTGATAGAATTACACAGATAAAGATGGGGAACCAATAAGAAAGATGTTGATTGAAATGATAAAACCCTGGCTTACGTCTTGCGCCTCCCACATTTGCTCCCAGCGTTCAGCCTGGATGCCCCATCGAATTCCATGTCCTGAGAGGAGCGCCTTGAGCGCAGGTAATTCATCTGTTTTACGTTGAGTGTTGGCCTTTTCTCACCGACAATTGAAATCCGCATGGTGAGCACTAGACCAAGTAAGTTTCTTGTTAACTGTGTCCATCTTGATTGGAACAAAAAGAATCAAGATGTCAGTATGTGAAAACCGCAGTGAATGAGCTCTAGGGATTGAAATTGAGTTACTTACATCTTTGGTCAAAGATTTCATATATGTATCACCCAGAAGGTAAGCGGTCTTGTGATTCTGATAAGTTTGAGGCTCATCTTCTTGTTCACAATCTTCTTCCTGGTCCTCATTTGAGCTCGAATGATCTGAATCACTACTGTGGTTGCTTTCTATGTTGTTGTCAAAATCCTCACTAGCAACACTGTTCTCATCTACATCTAAGTCCTGGACCTCGGGTGCGCTGCTGAGGCCGTCCAAGCCATCTTCTTCTTCTTCGATTCGAATGCGTCTTGGTTTCATTCCAAGTGCGTCCAGGCCAGCCTTCACAATCAATCCCATTTTATGGCAGAAGCATCGAACTGACATTGTTTTCGGTTTCCACATAAGCTGATGATCTTGGAAGAAACTCTGTTCCTCGAGCTGTCAATGGATTTCGCGGCCCATGGTAAAATTATTGCTTCCTGAATCAGAAACACTGGCGAGCATGTAAAGGATGGATTGATGTTAGTAAATGAAACCAAAGAAACTAAGTTTTGTGAATGAAGAAACCTGTTTCATGCTCTCAGAAACACATCCGGGTGTCTTGAGAGCATACGGAACCAAGCTCAAAGATCCGGCTGAGAGCTTAGGTTCCTCAAACAGGAATCTGTGAAATAAAATAAAATGAAATAAGTACTCATCTTTTTATATAGTCCATTCTTTTTCAAGATGGCTACCATCGGCTCAGCAAGTAAATGGCCTTGATGATGCCATGCGACAAGTTTCATACTTAAATGCCGAACAACATATTTCCAATCTTTCTTGATGTAAGAGACTGACGCCCCAATGAAGGCGTGAAGATTTCCCTTCACTGTCCAAACATCTTGGATAAGACAAAATATGCTGTCTAGGTTCTGAAACAAATGAATTTGAAAAACATCAAGTCAAATTGAGATCTGTTCATAAGGAGAGAAATTCGCATTGAGATGAAGTTGAAATAAAAAACAAGATTACTTACTTTGAGCTCTTTTTCAATCACTAATCCGCGAAGTGAGAGATAGAGGCGTTTAGCCTCTTCAGCCGACCATTTCCGGCCAAAGACACGCGCATCGGGGCGCAGCCAATACAAAATTGCCCTAAGAATCGGGTCTTCGATTCGTATGAATGGTAAGGCATGTGAGACTTGCCACACCGAGAGGCACTGATTCAATGTCTTGTTGGAAAAGGTTGGTGGACCGTTGACAAAGGTGGCTAAGGAACTTTGGTGATTCTCTTGAAGACGCTGAGTACGTAGATTTGATTCGGTTGGTGGGAGCTTGGCACCGGCAGAGATGGCCATGTTACGATGTGGGCAGCCGGCACCCGACTTACCGGCTTGCTTGCTACCATCTCGGTGTACCTTGAGGTTAGATCGAGAGCTACCACTTATCCTGACCACCTTGTGGCACCAGAGACAAGGGTAAGACAATCCTGGTTCATCAAGAGGCTAAAAAATCGGTTCAATGTCAGCTATTACAATAATCTGAGTAGCAGGTAAAGATTGTTAGAAAATACACTTACATCTTGTTCTCCGTGAAACGCTTGTCCAAAGAACAAGTAAGGACTGTCAAACTCAATGACAGTCTGGTTCCTTTTCCTTTTGGAGAGACAAAGGTTCCCTTCATCGGAGTCTTGTGCCAGATTGACATCAGGAGCACCAGAAGCAATCTATAGTGATCAATGACAAACATAAGTAATCAATACAGACAATAAGTAATCAATACAATTGATTGGGAGACACGATCTAGAATGTTTGACTTACCGAGAGTGATGCTTGACTGTTCCTGCCCCTGAGAGCAATGGACTGCACTCCA